GATGAATACCTGAACAGACTTGCTTTTATACATTATTTTATTGCTGATAATCATTCCACCAGTGTTTTTGTAGTGGGTGATATGAATGCTGACATATCAGACAAAAGGTCCTTGTTTGCTAAGCATATGCTACAGTTTTGTGATGATAACAATCTTATATTATCAAGCCAAATACTTCTGCCTACAGATAGCTATTCATATATAAGCGAGGCCTGGCATACAACTTCATGGCTTGACCATTGCATAAGCACTGCTAATGCCCATGACATTGTAAGATCAATTGAGATTGTGTATGAGCCATCAATGTCAGATCACATTCCTTTTATAATGTCACTAGATTATGATAGTCTCCCTGAGATGTCTCAGGAGGTTAAAAATGCCTGTACCACTAAAGTGGATTGGTCCAAGCTCACAAATGAGGATAGGCTATTGTACTATGGGAGAACTGATGTCCTATTGAGTGATGTATATCTACCCAAAGTGGCAACTCTGTGTGTTGATGTGGGTTGTAAGGCAAGGCAAGGCAAGGCAAGTTTATTTATATAGCACTTTTCAACACAAGGCAATTCAAAGTGCTTTACAAAAAATGAAAGACATTAAGAAAAAGGCATTTAAAATCAGTCATTAAAAAGAAAAGCTAATAAAATAAACATTAAAAGAAAAAATACATGGATAAAAGTTTCAGTGCAGTCTAAGATATGAATAGTTCAATTAAACATTAAAAGAAAAAGTACATGGATAAAAGTTACAGTGCAGTCTAAGATATGAATAGTTCAATTAAACATTAAAAGAAAAAGTACATGGATAAAAGTTACAGTGCAGTCTAAGATATGAATAGTTCAATTAAAAGCAGCGACAAAAAGAAAAGTCTTCAGCCTGGATTTAAAAGTAGTAATGAAAACTCTCACCGTGAAGACCTCTGTAACATGTATGATTGTATTGTGGGAGCTGTATGGGAGGCCAGTAGACCGTGCTGTACCTACTCTAGGAAGAGACACAACGTCAAGCCAGGGTGGAATAAACATGTGGCTGATCAATACGCTGAAGCCAAGAATGCTTTTGGGGCCTGGGTCCAGGCAGGAAGGCCCAGAGAGGGGCCTGTCCTGGATCTCAAAACGCGTACAAATGCTAGATATAAATATGCAGTTCGTTATGTCAACAAACACACAGAAACATTGAGAGCGGACTCTATGGCTGAAAAGCTCCTTCATAATGATGTGACTGGCTTCTGGAAGGAGGTGAGAGCTCTGAACAGGGCCAGTACGTCATTACCGTGTACTATAGAGGGAGTATCTGGAGCCGATAACATAGCTAAGTTGTGGAGGCAACATTACTCTAATATACTTAATTGTGTTAAAAGTGACCCCTACAAAGTTGGTAATGTTGTGAAGAGTGACACAGTGGGAATCACAGCTAAAGAGGTTTATCGAGCAATTGCACAGCTAGCTGATAATAAAGCATGCGGCTCTGACCGAATCACTGCAGAGCACCTTAAACTGGCAAGCCCGAAGGTTGCAGTTCTTCTTGCCATTTGTTTTACCGGCCTCATGACTCATGGTATGTTGCCAGACTCCATGTTGACTGTTACTTTGGTCCCTGTCATTAAGGACAAAGCGGGCAAGGTAGGGAGCTTGGATAACTATAGACCAATTGCTCTAGCCAGTGTGTTATCCAAAGTCTTGGAAATAATTTTGTTAGATAGACTATGTTCCTATTTATGTACCTCAGATAACCAGTTTGGCTTCAAGGCTAAGCATGATACTGAGCTATGCATCTATGCTTTGAAAGAAATGGTAGAAACATATAGAAGACAGCATTCCACGGTTCTGATTGGTTTTATTGATGCCTCTAAGGCTTTTGACCGAGTTAACCACCATAAACTGTTTTTAAAATTGAGACAAAGGGGTGTGCCTAACAGTATAATTAGGATCCTGGCTTATTGGTATGCCAACCAGAGCATGCGGATCAAATGGGGGAATGCAGTCTCTGCGCCATTTGGTGTTGGTAATGGAGTCCGCCAGGGGGGGCTCCTCTCACCATGCCTTTTTAATATCTATATGAATGATCTATCAGATGATTTAAGTGTCTGTAAAACAGGGTGTGTGATTGGTAATGTGATTGTAAACCATCTTATGTATGCCGATGATCTGGCTATTGTTTCTCCTAGCAGTGCTGGTTTTCAACAGTTGCTAAATGTTTGTAGCATTGTATTTAACGTCAAATTTGACGTTAAATACAATGCTAAGAAGAGCGCTGTAATGATCTGCAGAGCAAAAGGGGATAAGAACCTTTGTTTTCCAACATTCTACCTGTCAGGACAGGTGCTGTCTGTTTGCTGTAACACTAAGTATCTAGAACACATCATCACAGATGAAATGGCTGATGATGATGACATGTATAGACAGCGGCGTGTCTTATATATGCAAGCCAACATGTTGGCTAGAAAATTCTCTTGGTGTTCAGATAAGGTTAAGGTGAACCTCTTTAGAGCTTATTGCACTCCTCTCTATACTGTCCCCTTGTGGGTCAAGTATAAGAAGGCGAGCCTCAAGAAGCTCCAGGTTGCATATAATGACTGTTTGCGTATACTGCTTAGAAAACCAAGGTGGTGCAGTGCAAGTGAAATGTTCTGTAACGCACGAGTCAACACGTTCCATGCTCTTTTGAGAAATCGAATGTACAAATTCATCTGTCGATTGAATGTTTCTCATAACTCTGTCATTATGCTGCTGTCAAATCCGTGTTTCAGTGCTGTACGATACCAGTCACCTCTGTGGAAACATTGGTATAACTGCCTTTTTTAATTTATATTTGAGTGTTGTATGTTTTTGTAATAATGGACCAAGAGTCTCTTTAAATAAAAGATGATGAATACAGGATTGTGTTGCTCTAAGAAAGTGAGCAATACAGTATAAGCACACAAAAGATCATAGGGTAACAAATCGAGCAATTACAGTGACTAACGCAATATTTAGTTCTTTTAACAGAACATTTGAAAGTAATTGATTCTTGCTTTACAGTTGAATTGTATAACCAGTTTGTTTCCTACATACATTTATTCTAGTAAAATATGATCTGTTTGTATAGCATAATGATAATTTATAAGATAGAAGGATTGCATTGTTTTTTGTTGAACACTATATTTTCCCTACTAGCATTTAGACAAGCATGTGTGTTTGCTGCCATCTAGTGTACAGATACAAATAGGAACACATTTTCCAAATCAACAGCCTAATATTCGCAAACAGTATTTGTTCTAGTATGGGCATACAGTGGGGCAAAAAAGTATTTAGTCAGCCACCAATTGTGCAAGTTCTCCCACTTAAAAAGATGAGAGGCCTGTAATTTTCATCCTAGGTACACTTCAACTATGAGAGACAGAATGGGGGGAAAGAATCCAGGAAATCACATTGTAGGATTTTTAATGAATTAATTGGTAAATTCCTCGGTAAAATAAGTATTTGGTCACCTACAAACAAACAAGATTTCTGGCTCTCACAGACCTGTAACTTCTTCTTTAAGAGCCTCCTCTGTCCTCCACTCGTTAACTGTATTAATGGCACCTGTTTGAACTCGTTATTAGTATAAAAGACACCTGTCCACAACCTCAAACAGTCACACTCCAAACTCCACTATGGCCAAGACCAAAGAGCTGTCAAAGGCCACCAGAAACACAATTGTAGACCTGCACTAGGCTGGGAAGACTGAATCTGCAATAGGTAAGCAGCTTGGTGTGAATAAATCAACTGTGGGAGCAATTATTAGAAAATGGAAGACATACAAGACCACTGATAATCTCCCTCGATCTGGGGCTCCACGCAATATCTCACCCCGTGGGGTCAAAATGATCACAAGAACGGTGAGCAAAAATCCCAGAACCACACGGGGGGACCTAGTCAATGACCTGCAGAGAGCTGAGACCAAAGTAACAAAGGCTACCATCAGTAACACACTACGCCGCCAGGGACTCAAATCCTGCAGTGCCAGACGTGTCCCCCTGCTTAAGCCAGTACATGTCCGGGCCCGTCGGAAGTTTGCTAGAGAGCATTTAGATGATCCAGAAGAGGATTGGGAGAATGTCATATGGTCAGATGAAACCAAAATAGAACTTTTTGGTAAAAACTCAACTAGACGTGTTTGGAGGAGAAAGAATGCTGAGTTGCATCCAAAGAACACCATACCTACTGTGAAACATGGGGGTGGAAACATCATGCTTTGGGGCTGTTTTTCTGCAAAGGGACCAGGACGACTGATCCGTGTAAAGGAAAGAATGAATGGGGCCATGTATCGTGAGATTTTGAGTGACAACCTCCTTCCATCAGCAAGGGCATTGAAGATGAAACGTGGCTGGGTCTTTCAGCATGACAATGATCCCAAACACACCGCCCGGGCAACGAAGGAGTGGCTTCGTAAGAAGCATTTCAAGGTCCTGGAGTGGCCTAGCCAGTCTCCAGATCTCAACCCCATAGAAAATCTTTGGAGGGAGTTGAAAGTCTGTGTTGCCCAGCGACAGCCCCAAAACATCACTGCTCTAGAGGAGATCTGCATGGAGGAATGGGCCAAAATACCAGCAACAGTGTGTGAAAACCTTGTGAAGACTTACAGAAAACGTTTGACCTCTGTCATTGCCAACAAAGGGTATATAACAAAGTATTGAGATGAACTTTTGTTATTGACCAAATACTTATTTTCCACCATAATTTGCAAATAAATTCTTTAAAAATCAATGTGATTTTCTGGATTTCTTTTTTCTTCTCATTTTGTCTCTCATAGTTGAGGTATACCTAGGATGAAAATTACAGGCCTCTCTCATCTTTTTAAGTGGGAGAACTTGCACAATTGGTGGCTGACTAAATACTTTTTTGCCCCACTGTATGTACGGACATTTTGTACACAATTGTACTTTCTATCCTTTCCATGTTTTTGTTTAATCTGCAGCTAAATATTTACAGTTTAAATTCTGTATAAGAAGTATTTTAAAGATGCTTTAAGACAAAACATACATTTTCCACTTTTATTTTCCATTGCACAGTAATCTCTATCTACATAATTTTAAATTTGTGTGGCAGCAGATAAAGTCATAAACATCCATGTGAAAGTTGCATAAAACTGTACAAGAAAATTGGCTACAATGAGAAAAATACTGCAACCCACTGATAACTGTTGAATCCAGGACAGAAGATGGCATATGGCAGATAGACAGGACTCCCTCTTGCTGCTTGAGTGTGTGGATTGTATCGGGTAAGAATACTGCATACTGTATGTAGGGACAAGAAACAAGTCACACGAAGATGAAAAACAGGTATGACATTGAACAAAATAAAACAAGTATAACACAAATAACAGCCGGGTTGGAGGGAAAGACATAGAACAAGTATTTGGGGATGAACTCTAGCTAAAACTACTTATTTTTCCTGAAGTAGTTTTTTCCTATTTGTTACCTTGGGGATTAAAGACGGAGCTATCTACCAACATCCACACAACAATGCTTTACTAAACACAGAGAAGGCCATATCTGTCGCTGTGGACCCAGAGAGTCAGTGGAAGACTCACTGGAGGAAGAGAGAAACAGGCAAAGACTGCAGTGGAGGAGAGTCGAAGCATGTGTGCAAAGACCAGACATGCGGCAGTTAAATAAAACCAGATTTTTAGAGGTCATTCTCTAATGCTCATTATCCTACTGTTATCTAGTTATTATCATTGGTGGCTTTAGTTAGTGTAACAGACACTCAACTGGACACGGCCTGCTGACTTGTACATCAATTATTAACAACCAATATCCTAAATAATATCACCTAATTTACATGAGCACACTCTGACACAGAGAGACATAAACACTCATTCATGAACAAACACACAGATGAATGGTTTAGGTTTTTGTTTTGTTATCAACCGACAGTTAGGGCACTTCAAACATTAAACATTAGTCCAAAAGTTACATATATGACATATTGTGAAACCATAGTACTATAAATGGCTGAGTTCCATTGCAAATTTCTCCATTTCTTGAACCCTGAAAGATGATGAATAATATATTTCTTAATGAACCTGATCCTGTCTGTATGTACGATACCGTCCGGTGAAATGATGAGCCAAATTATAATGCAATGGAAAAGCTAAAGCAACTCTTTGGCGTCAGAAAAAATATGGCCTCTCTCCTCTTCTGCTCGAGCAACTTTGACATCTACTTTCCAGTTGGTCTTAGATTGTCAAACTATTTACTTATATACAAATAAAGGTTAAAAGCCTGGTAGACAGAGAGATATACCACATTTCAGCTTTACTGCAAATATGGAAATAGAAACGAGATAATAATGGAGGTGAACGTTTCTGACACCAAACACAACTGTCTTTTGCACCTTAATAAATATAAACAAATAAATCACAAAGATAACTTTCTCATACAGACAACTGTCAGCAAAACCTGAAATGTGTTTTAAACATATGCTTTTAAAGGATTACACATCTGTATTACTATTATTCTGCATATATGATTACACAAATAGTTGTTTCCCCTCATGTGAAGGTAATCGCCATATCGGTGTGGACTGCAGAACTTGGAAACTCCACAAAATCTGGCTAGACTTTTGTGTATTTAACACTGATGTCATCGGCATTTTACAGTCACACTCGCAAACTGCGGAAGCTTACGACAATAGAGGTTGAGAGAGGCAGTTAACATCACATCAGGTAAACAATACAAGTGTGTGGTTCATACGCACTTGCTTTGAGATTTGAGAGTCAGTAAATCAGATGTAGCCATGTCAGTGAGTACTAAATGATATATGCCTTTTATATCCTTGCCCTCCTTTTTTAGATTCCAGCCCTTTTCATAAGGAGAAATTAATTTGAGTTGTTAGATAAAAGCCACAAAAAGTATTTTTTCAACAAATCAAATATCATCCACTTTCACAACCATAGAAAAATAAGAGATTTTCCAATAATACAGACAGAGCAATAAACCCAACGAATAACAAATAGAGGAATGGCAAGAAAATAGAAATTAACACACACACGCACACACTGTTGGTAACGATATGAAAGTCTGTAAGATACAGAGGAGAGTCTAGAGGTTGAGCGAGATGACGAAATATCCAGTGTACATCAGATTAAGTTGCTTTTATCCCTGTGACTCTCTGCATAGAGGAGGCGTCACTGTTGAGCTCTTCCTGTGTCTCTCCATCGCCGCCGTCACACGCTGCTCTTTCCTCTTGGATGAGCTTTCCTTTTCTTTTGTACTTGTCACTCGGAAGTGGATACAGCGTTGCACATTTATTAGATTTATGTATATATAATGATGTATTTAGATTATTTTTCCTTCTTTTTACATTGTTAAGAATGTTTTTTAGTCTGTTTCTTCAATAGATACTTGTCTTTTTTTCAGCTATGGTCGTCGGTTTGACATGGCCCCCCCGATGGGCTCGGAGTGGAGACAACATTAAAGGACATTTTGGCAAATGAGTATGAAGAATCTCCAGGTGCGTGGGCCAATCGGCTACCTCGGAGGAGAAGTCGAACAGAGATAAACAAAGAGACGAACACTTTTTTTTAAAAGACACCATTTATGTGCTCCCTCTGAGGTTGTCCTTCACCCCCGTCTACCGCTCAGTTCCACCCTAAGACTGAGGTAAGAACAGTATTCAACATTGTGCTAGGGAAGATAATCCCAAGTGTCCCAGTGAAGAAGGCTTGGAGGGATGGATGTATGGACAGACAGATGGGTGGGGGGTCACGGTGAGTCCAAATGAGCCAATGGAAGGTGACAGTCGCGTCCACATAACTCTGCTCCTCCCCCGTCACCGTTTACAACTGGTACCATTTTTTGTCTTTGCACTTCAGCATCATCTGGACACACAGAAAATATTGGAGTTAGAACATTGCTTAAAGGTCCCCTATTATACAGTTTTTATCAAGGTCTCAGATATATACAAAACATGTCTCTGAAGTGTTTGGCTCGAAACACCAGACAGATCGTGCATCCCATAATCCCCTCTGTTTCAGCCCTGTTTAAAAAATGCTGATTCTCTGTCTGTAACTTTAGATGAAAATAAGGAGCCCCTCCCCACGCCCCTCTGAGAGATATTTGGTTAAAAAGAACACAATGGTGCTCTAGGAGGAGATTCAGGTGATAAGGTGGGCGAGTGTTACCTTGGTTGGTGATTGGCTAATGGTTAAACAAGCCAAAAAATCTTTATGACATCATAAAGTGGCCAAAATCTGATCAGCTCATTTTCAGACAGGTTTTTATATAAATGGATCAGGACTAAAAGTGAGCGAATCTTTTTTCCTGAAACACATGTTGATGTAGAAGAGACATGAACAAGTGGATTTTCAATAATACGTGACCTTTAAAAAAATAACATAAAATTCTCCAAACTTGTGAGTTAGACAAACTATGATTCTCACAATTAATTCATGGTTTAAAATCTCTCATCAATACTAATTATTCTGATGACACTCATTTATATTTTGTTACTTTAATTTGTTTCAGCTGGTCAAATAATAAGCACTGCAGGCAACAGGAGACCTAACATAGTTTGAATCCATATCTATGTCATTTATTATAAGAAAATCTTAAAGTAATACTGACTCTCTATATCTGACAATCAACAGTATCAACAGTACTGCATACTTTATACAGGCATATACTGCCCTCTGGTGGTTAATAAGTGTAAATGAGTAATATTTCTGAAAATAATTGTGGAAGACAGAGCTCAGTATATCTCAGTATATCCCTGCACTGCATCAAGTGTGTATATAATGTTCTTACAGTATGCAGTGTGTTTAAGGAGGAATTGTATATAATCTAATCATCATCTAATAGACAATCAAAATGATTTTGTATATATTGATTGTTGTGTTTTTATTTAGGTCTTAAGCGTGCACATGTCAAAACGTGTCTTTGACTGTGTATATATATACATATTTGCACACATATTTTAATATTTTATATACATTTGTTTTTGTATTCGGGATTGTGGGAAACTCTGTCTGTACACACAAACTGGAAGATTGACAATAAAGTTGACTTTGACTTGAAGCTAATACAGGTGAAACCAGGTATATCCATATTATTACTTTTGTCTTCTGCCTTAAGAAGACTATTTCTCAGTTAACAATTTATTTTAAGCAGACTGCTTCATTTTGTGAGGGACTGTATACATGTAGTTTCATGCTAGCTCTAGATCAGGGGTCTCAAACTCAAGGCCCGGGGGCCAAATCCGGCCCGCAACTTCATTTTATGTGGCCCCGCAAGAGCTTGCAAAGAATATAATACGTTTATTATACAGTTACATGCCACTTTAAAGAAGCAGGTTGCCCATAAACTACATGTCCCACAATCCATCTTGTTGTGTGACATGCGCACTGAAGAGACTTGCAATTATTTGCCCTAGACTTCTGCTTTCAGACGTGGTTAATTAGTAAGTTATTATGCTATCCGATAATAATCCAATTCAGAGGCAATAATGTAATATAAAACATTATTTTATATTTATATTATATATTTATATAGTTACAACCGGACCTTTACACGAATGTGGCCCGCGATGAAATTGAGTTCGACACCCCTGCTCTAGATTTGACACTTTTAAACATTTTCTGTTACCTCATGGGCATGTTTGGAAAAGCAATCTGCGCTGGTCATCATGGCAGCTGTCCTCTCATCAAGCTCGCCCAGTTTCTGGCCTCTTTCATCCAGCGCTATCCGGGCACGAGCCAAGTCTCCAACCACACCTGATGCTGCCCCCTTCATCCCCTCCAAGCCACCCGGGCCTGGGATGTGCTGGGCCAGACTTCGGTTTGCCTTTCCAGAAGAAATCTCACCAACTGATTTAGGATATGAAAGGAAAAGAACAAGGCAAGATGTGTTGATGAGAAGATGAATCAACAAAGGACTGCAGATCTGGGCATCAGTAGGTTTGGCTTACATAGCTCCTCTCTGTCCAGGGACTGAGCTCCTCCCCCGAAGAGGCCTTTGAAGAACCCTCTGTTGGGGGCCTCTGGTGTCTCCACCGGTGTAAAAAGTTCCCCCAGCATCTCCTGAAAGACCAACACACACATCATCCTGCTGAATAAATAAATCATCTCAATAAATAAATTATAAATTGTTGAAATAATGAAAATATGATATAACTTTCTATAAATTGCACTGTATCATTGAAAAACAAATATCTACAGATGGGGATTATCGTGTCAAAAAAAAAGCTTATTGTGATCATTACTCCCACCTACGTTAGCTTTGGACCAATACAAACTTTGATATTATTGTGAAACATCATGTCAATCTCCTACTTTATTCAAGGTGCAAAAAAGGCTCCTGCTGTTTTTTATCTTGGCTTATTAGCTAGCTAGATAAATTGACTTGGTAAATCCATGTGTAGTGTTTCCTGTATGTTTAAAGTGGACCTATCATGCTATATTTGAAACATATATTGTAGGGCCATACCTATATAAAACATGTCTGTGAAGTTTTTAAAAAAAAATACCAAACAGATCATGCATTTTAGCCATGCCTCATTTCGCTCTATTTGCTCTTTTCCAGCCCTGTTTTTGCAAGGGCTGATTCTGCTTTTGTGGCAGACTACAGCGCCACTTACAGGCCTGGCATATGTACTACAGCGTCTCCAGCGCTTTCGAGCGGTCTCTCATTCCCCTGATAGGTGGAGAGTTGCCCATGTAGGCGGAGCACCCCTTTTCTGACGTCAGAAAAATCAGCTCCGTTGCAGCACCGTTTTTAGAGATTTGGGTATGGAGGAAAAGAGAGAGGGTTGTGTTTTCTGACACTTGGTGAGTTCCCTGACACACCGGGGACACATATTCATGTATAAAAGACGTACAACTTTTATCCATGTACTTTTTTCTTTTAATGTTTAATTGCACTGTAACTTTTATCCATGTATTTTTTCTTTTAATGTTTATTTTATTAGCTTTTCTTTTTAATGACTGATTTTAAATGCCATTTTCTTAATCTCTTTCATTTTTTGTAAAGCACTTTGAATTGCCTTGTGTTGAAAAGTGCTATATAAATAAACTTGCCTTGCCTTGCCTTGCCTTGCCTTACAAAAGTGCATTTTGCATGATAGGTCCCCTTTAATGTTGACTGACCTGTAGGTTTTCACAGGTGTCCTGGCTGTAGGTGATCCTCTGGACCTCAGTGGGGGAGCAGAGGTACATGGCCTGACCCAGGTTAGTGAAGCAGAACGTCCTTGCTATCCGCATGTCAGTCAAAGGCAGGTAGTTTACATCCATGAGTGGTCTCAGCCCCGGCACACTAGACAAGGAAAAACAGAAAAGATGTATGTGATTTCAGATCTAAAGAATACTATAAGCCTGCCAATAAATGATTTTGGAATTTAAGTCTAACCCAAACACAAGATCACTGTGCTTATTTTAGTAACATAGAATTGTGACTTTTCAACACTGTATTTTAGCATGAGGGCAATCTCCTGAAACACCATAGCATACTTTAATCATCAAATACCATTGAAATGATACTGAAATCTGTCTTTTGACATTAAACATGCCCTGAATATGCAATAGGTTTGTCGGCATATGTAACAAAACTGAAAGTAAAAGCTGTGGTCAGCTCGGAGTTATATTGAGTTAAATCAATCCAATAAACTTCTCCATCTCTGCAGCCTAATCCATTTGTTTGCTTTGCTCAGAATGTCGGAATTACTCATATTGAGCCCAAAACATAGCTTAATACCCAACCACCACCTCAAGCCTCATGCACGATCCCTATGAGCTAAAAAACATGTTTGTTGTTCCTGCCTCCTGCTCCTTTATTGGTCAGAACCAATCTAGCAAAACTCTCTTATTGGCTAATTTACACATTAAAGTTGTACTTTATATAATTAGTGCGTTTGTCCTTATCATCAAATCTGGTTCCTTCAGCAACTTTGGTCTTAAAAACAACTTGCCTTAAATCTGATCTTCTGAACATGATACGTATAATCTGACTTTAATTGATACATTTTCATTAAACCCAGGAATTTGCTGACTGATGCAGATCGTTTCTCACCTGAGTGTCATGATGTGGCCATTGGCACAGAAACAGGCCAGAGACACGCCTTGGCTCATCTGCACAACATCTGCCCGCAGGATGAAGGAGGCCTCAGTGATACTGTGTTTGTAGATGCAGGTCTGGGAGGGGAGGGAAATGACTTTGGCCTGTTTCTCTGAACACACCACAGCATACTGGCTCTCGTTGAGGTCCTGGGAGGTGGAGGGGGACACTGAGACAGGCCGGCGCTTGCGGACCTTCTCTCTTTCTTCCCCATCTGCTGTTACGTTGGGTTCAAACCAAGGCTCAAACGCAGGCGGCAGCATTGAACCTGTTGAGTCCAGGAGAGCCATCCGCATGATGCTGCCCTTCAGCCGCACCAACATGCCTATCGAACGGAAGGAAAAGGCTTGTTATAGAAAATGTGATATCATTTCAGTAGCTTTATCTTATTATAGTGGCGCTATTGTGTTCAAACCATTTAACTCTGATTTATAATAGAGTTGGCACAAATAAATTGGTTTTCATCTACTATAGCAGGGGTGTCCAAACTTCGGCCCGGGGGCCAAATGCGGCCCGCAGGCCATATTGAATCGGCCCTCAGCAAATTCATAAGGTTATAATGCAGTATGGCCCTCAAATGAAACTTGTGCTTGTCTTGTATTGTACGTCTTAAATATAGATACAAACCGATTATACAGTAGTATTCATTTGTCAATGAGCCCACTTTTCAAATAAATTCTGTCAATTCAAGTTGAAAACATTTTCGAACATATCTAAGTTGATAAGAAAAAAGCCCAATAACTTATTTATACAACAAGCTTGAAATAGACCCTTCATATGTCCTCTTATGATAATCAATAAGGAATGAGCTGAAAACAAAATAATTGAAACCCTCTAGAGAGCTGTGATTTAGGCTGATTAAGAATAATTTACCTACATTTGATTGATTTTGCTGATATATAACTTAACTCATGAGGCAATATACCTCTAGTGAGTGGCCCAGCCCTTCGTATATTTTTCTGTATTTGGCCCTCGGTGAAAAAAGTTTGGACACCCCTATACTATAAGATAATGCATCATTGTATTTTCCATCCCTTCTTTCTTTCTGATGTTCCATTACTCACCTGTAGGTGAAAGGATAACTGGCTGCAGTTGCCGTTGCTCCCCAGCAGGTGGCAATGTGAGAGCTAGAGCCAGCACGGTGCCCAGAGTAGTGCCCACATACAGGCAGGGCGTCAACGTGCTGTCCCCCTTCCGGGCGAAGGTGTCACTGAAGTGGAAGGAGCTGATGGCCTCTCTGGCTTCCTTGTCAATACTGGTGACGCTGGAGGAGCGCGAACGGCTGAAAGAATTGTCCCGATGGTCTAATGGGTTGGCACCCCGTGGCGGGCATACAGACAGGAAGACAGTGGGAGAAAAGAGAGAGAGGTAAAGCACCCACACAGCAGTGACATCACAAGATAGTCAACACAGATGTGGTCTCTGTACTGTACATACAAAATGAAACAGTTTTTGGCAGTGTTAGTAAAACAAACACTTGGGACGTTAAAGGCATTACATTAAGACAAGACACAACAGTTGGGTAAAAACCTTATTTAGTGAATGATTATCTAGTCAAGATATTGAGTCAGACAATTGAAGGAGAAACATTGGGAAATAAATCCTAGAGTATTGTTTGCATTCTTAACAGTGGGTAAATACATAAAAGGCTGGTCTTATTTATCTCAGATCAGAACAAAGCAGCAACAAGTGACTTTGCATTATACTGTACATATTTTGTATTATATATTTTACAATAGAAACAAATCCAATGCAATACAGGACCACCAACATTTTCAGATTGTACCACCCCAATCAGCAGTCTATTAGTACAGACAGACCGGCTGTCAGGCACTTTGGTTACATGGGTAAAACACTGGAACTCTAAAACAACCATACAGGTAAATGTATTGGCACTTGCACATTCTAATTGGACACTGTCGCAACCAATGTTCATGTTTTTGAGAAGAATCTTGTGCACCCCTGAGGAAGAAAAATGTCAAGTTCTTTGCCAGTAAAAATACTTTTATTTGGACAATTTGTAAATCAGACAGAGAAAGGAAAGACATGAAGAACACAGAAGAGAAAGAGAAAGCTGCAAAAGTAACAGAAAGCGTTACGGTGAGATGGAGTTGGCATAGCACCACTGACCTCTAGGAGAACTCCCACCAAGGTCAAAAAGTGGGAGTCCGAGCACAGCAGAAGATTTCACACTGAATTTATTTCTAAAACGTTGCTTTAGCTCAATTGTTTCAAGTGGTCAGATCAGTGCTACTTTTGATTCATGCAAACTTAGGAGAATGTCTGCACAGCTTGCCAATTTTGAGGCTAATAACCAGATAAAACCGGACTAATTGGATGTGGTGGAGTCCAGTTGAAGGGAGAAAGATAAACTGCATTTCATACAAATTGTTTTGAGACACGAAGTCAAAGCTTACCCAAGTCTGGCTTTAGCTCAGTAGGCAAGCTTAATTTCCGTGACATCTTTGCTGGAAAAAAGAGAACATCCCTCTTTACAAACACACGTCTACGCTAACACACGATGCCATGCAAAGCTAGATAACTAGCATTGGGCTTGAATACACCAAAAAAGGACAAAGGCCTGTGGAACAAAGTGCCGGGGGGGGGGTTTTGAATTGAATAAAGGAGCAAATATGCTTTAAACAGAAGAAGAAACTGCGCAAAGACTCAGAGACAACTCCGTATATCACAGACGCATGCTGTGGAAGACAAAACAAAAGAGGTGACCTCTTGTTGCACAATGCCCTGCAAGAGAGGACTGGTACAGTGAGATACATTGAAACTGCACAGCCATTCAGCACCCTCATGCCACAGGAGCATGCACCAAGGACAGGAAGGCAACAGGAAACTGAAAATACTGAAAAGGAGATGGAAGAAGATGGTGAAAAAGATGGTTACTGAAGTACTGCTACTTAATGTAGGCTACCTTAACTGTGGTCACCTTCTTTTGAACTGTATCTCTTTTACTTTTTATATTAATAACTGTAATAGTCACTCAAAACAGTGAACCTATAAACAGAAACGTCAATGAATGAAAGTGTTAGATGTTTTAGAGAAATACTGTGTGATGAATAGGGGACTTTCATCATTCACTTATGGTAGTCATGAATGAATTGCAAGCTAGTCATTTTTTACGGGTCCTTAAAACTGACAGAATCCCACCTTGACAAATGAAGAAACCTATATTAGATGTTAGAGACATCCCTAATATTTACAAGCAAAAATGTTGTTGGGTTAACTTCTTTACTTTTTCCCCCCCATTTAAACGAAGTTCCAAAGGCTTAAATTGAATGACGCTTCACCTATAATCCAGTTTTCAAAGCTCGCTGTTTCCAGCCCTCTCCATCATATATGAACACATACAGTATCTATCTACAGTTAACACATGGTAAACACCTACCATCATTCTACTTTAATGTGAGGGCCCTGCATTTCCACACAGGGGTTTTCGCTTATAATTAAACCTCTGCTCAGGTAGAAGTCTGGTGGACCTATGGGAATTACATGGGGTCACCAAACCATTACAATATAAGAATAATAAATGGTTTCTAACCTCACAGGGATAAGAAGAGTCGGGAAAATGTACTGAATATTTGAACACTTCGAATATTCAGGCTTAAAATGTTCAGGCTACGGAATTGAGGTCAGGCTAGTTAAATAAAGTTATTTGATGTTGGTTTGAGAAGTACTGGTTTGGGAAAGGTTACAAATCCAGTCTCAGATGTGGCAGTCATTGGAAGATACCATTACCTACCTACTCATTGTCACCTGAATCAGAAAAAGGTTAAGATACAGAACAGGCAACGCTCTGCAGACAAACTTTGAGCACTTGATATGTAATCATATAATCAACACACACTGAAGGTACACAAAGACACAGTAGGACAGATGAGTTGCCCTCCACTCTGTGGTGTCATCATACTGTTACTATCGACAGAGCCAATAACGCACACAGGGAATCTGCTACAGGAGGTCAGGACAGAGATAACACGCAGGCACGTTTACATATGACACTCGTGCTACATACATGTAGCATGCAATGTGTATCTAAGGCAGTTAAGCTGTATTTTCATGTATACAGAAAGCTTAATTACTGCCATGCTTCCAGGTTAACCTCTGCTCCATGAGCTTTCAGCTTTCGGTGTATACTTTTCTAACCATATACTTGAGTACAGATGGAGAATATGAACACCTTTTCATTTTAACCAAGAAAAAAACAACTGCTGTTGTTTATAATTCAATACAGTGAGAACCAAAAGATAGTGGAAGAGGAGCTAACCCAGAAGTGAAGCTGAACTTAGGCACTCTATTCTCTAGTCTATTTCTTCTCACTGTGGTGACCATGACACGGAGGACAGAGACAGGGGTGGGGGCAACTAGGTGGACGACAAATGTGGACTTTGTCCTGCCTACACAGCCTCTTATAAAAGCCTTTGGCCAATCTTACCTCCTCTACCACCTCCATTGTAGAATTGCTGAAGATTGCTGTTTGACATCAACACTTTTGGTGTTGTAAGGGGGGAAAGTAAAGTAGAGTAAATGCGCAGTTAGAAACACCCTTTGGCTTGTTACTACACACAAAATCCTACCCTAATAAATCCCATGTTTAAATTCTGAGTGGAAAACTGGCCTTTGATCTGTTGAGGATGCCCTTTATTTGGGGAAAAAAACATAGAAACGGATTCCCAGATGAAAGAATGCTGTGAATTATTATACTTGCCTGCTTTTTATAACAAAGACAATTGGCCGGGTAGATCTAGTCAGGGAAAGCTCTGATCCCTTTTCATTTCACAAATGTCAAGGGTCTACAAGATTTTTATTGTTTTTACTGAATTAAACCAATTAAATTAAAATTGTAACTGTTTAAATCAGCACATATTCGACTGATTTTAAAGTACTTCATATGTAAAACAGAACATTTAAAACACTAGGATTAAATGTGAGGAAAAAAAAGGAAAGAAAAAAAAGGGGCTGTGAAGCATTGCTATCCCACTACTAATGTTTTTGTCATGCTGCTTGAATATATTTGCATAATCAAGTCCATCTGTCCTATAACTAAGTGGTTAAGCATTGAAAATAATAACCAATTGATACAATTTGAGTTATTTCAAATCAAACTATTCCAATGAACTTCTTGAACAATATTACACTCCCCTGCACTAATAGAGTCTAAATTCATCAAACTGAAACTGATTTCAAGGTAAAACAGGTGGAACTGCATAAAAAAAGAAATCTTCCACTGGCAGACTTTGAGATTAGACAGAAAAAAAAGCGTATCCCTAGACTACATGACTGGCAAAAAAATTCGCAGGGAGGCACCTCATCTCTTTCTCTGGCCTATGAATAATGCAGAGCAGACAGATGTATCAGACCACAGTCTGGTGGCACCAGGCAGGGGGGCAGGGACACTCTTCACACCTGCAGCAGCACTCCCGACTTTGAGATTTGTTTTTCTGTCTGACCTTTTTAAAAAGCTCCTTATTTCAGTGCCAAGTTACCTCTAATGAGATGGATCTGGGGTGTTCCTACTCCAAGCACCTTTAGCTTAAATACTAATGATGTAGATTAAGATGGAGGCGAGTTAAAGAGCAAAAGAACATTTTTCCTGTTGCAACACTGTAAATATTGCTGTGGCAGAAAGTGAAAATGGATTTTGTTAGTTTGCATCAGTGATATGAAAACTGCTTAAAATTTTAATCTGCGGAACAGATCTGCTTTAGCACCCATATACATTCAATGTTTAATTGAAATAAGATCCCTGCTCAAAATCCAAGTTAATTCACATAAGATCGCAACTGATATTATACATTTAACTCTGGAATAACTATACTACACAAACTACACAAATATGCAGTTACTGAATATATGAAAATACCCAAGGCCCTTCAGGTTGAATTTTTATAGTTTTAAATGGTTCTATGAATAATGAAAACGAATGGGTTCCTCTACGAGAACGCAGAGTTTTGTTTCATTCAATTCCTAACTCTTAGCTGTCACACTGTATTAGCAATCGTGGAGATTAGATACATTTACAGCCTAAAGCCCAGCTTTCCAGGATATCATTTGAGATTAAAACAAATGTATTCCTGTCTATTGAACACTGCAAAGTGGTAAAGGAATGCATGCACAGATGAGAACATATTCTTAAAAACCCATAAATGTATGGTAATAAACTCAAACAGCGCATTTCAAAAGACTGGGAGAGAATGAAATTAGCAGCAAGACAATTTTATGGTTCAACAAAAACCTGTCTGTGTGGTTCCAGTTTGATGAGCAACACTTTCAATAAAACACTATTAAAGGCAGAGGCTCTTTTGAAACACTGATCTCCCTAACCAATTATCTTTGTGCATTCAAATACATGGTTTAATAAGTATACTTTTTAACTGGTTTACTATTTGGCTTTTACTTCTCGATAACACAAAGCCCCTGCTTCTGTTTTTTCTCTTAAAAAAGAAGGACATTTTACCTGAAGTAGGGGACTTGCAGCGGTCCTCTGATGTGGCCGAGCCCTCGTTGATGTCACACAGACCTGCAGCAGAAATCACAAAATTAAATTCATACATCATACCAGAACCACTGAGAGTATAACACAGCCCCGTTTTACTTTGTAATTTAACTCTGTAGAGAGAACCTCAGGTATCAAATCTGTATTGCTTTATGCTTTAAGGGGAATTATTAACTACGCATAAGTACAAACATGAGCATACACGTATCATGGGCAATTTTATATATAAGGCTGCCTACATCATGTTGCCTACATCTCTTTTAATGGGTTTGGTCTCTTTTTGTTGTACTTTGTTGTGGTTGTTTTGTCTCTTTACGCGGTTGCTTTGTGTCCCTATGTATTTGCAATAATTGTGAGTCTTGCAGCTCTTTTGCAACTCCTCTTAGTTGTTTTGTGTCTCTTTGTGGTCATTTTGTTTTTGGGTTGATTTAGTTCACCGTTTCATTGTCAGTGTGGTTGAGGCTGTTTTCTAATAATGTCACTGTGTATTTGTTACGTTGTAGTTTTGGTGTCTTTGTAGTCTTTCTGCCTCTCTTTTTGGTCATTTTGAGTCTCATCCTACAAGGTAGATGTATCTTTGAGTGACATTTAGTATGTAAGAGCCAGGGGGAGGCCCTGACAATTTGGTCACCTTGGCCGTATCCAGGTAGGCCAGTTCAGTAGTCCAAATGGAACATTTTCCACCAGCAACTCTGTGTCTGTTGGTTTTAACATATAAAACATGATATGCATCCTTAATGTTGTTACTGATGAGGGTACCAAGATGGCACAGCGCCAGTCAGCTGTTTGTTAACTTTGGGGTACCTAACTGTCAAGCCCTTTTAAGAAATGTAATGTACAAATTCCTGTGTCGCCTAGAAGAGTCAGACAATTTATCTCGATTTTAATTAACCCTGTGAAGAGTTCTACTCGGTTCTCTTCCATGATTTGGAGACATTGGCGCAACAGCCTCTACAGACATGCATGTATGTGTGGCTAGCTGTCATTGGACTAATTTGATGTTTTTCATCTGTTTTTTTGTCTTATTTATTGTTGTGTATTTTGTCCTTTTGTATGTGATATGGACCTTGAGTCTGAAATAAAGATTGAATTGAATTGAATGCTTCTTTCCATTTCAACGTCGGAATCATTAGTTTACCACGTGGCTTTTTGTCATGTTGTCGTGTGAGGCAGAAAGCCAAGCACACAGCAGTCCCTGTTGGAAGAGAAGCACAGCTGGATCCCTGATTACTGCTCACTGTCGCCAAGCTCTGACAGGTGCCAGCACACTGCTCTCCAGTCAGTGACACCAGATGCTCTGAGTGTATACTCATTTGCACGTGCTTGTGTATTTGCCAGTCTTATTGTGGTTCTGTGTACATTGGTTTGCCTGCATGAAAAGCTCATCTATGCTTAAATAACGTAAACATCAAAAATAAATCGCTCAACATCCACAGCTTACTAATTCATCCATCAAACCTTTGCTTAAGTATGGTCAGTGCATCGTCATGACACTGCGGCATCCTCTACGTAGCTGCACTGCCATCATCTTACACAGGGTGGCAGTGTGTCCATAAGGTAAGCACCTTATTAGCTATCAGTGGTAGCATGAGCCTGCAGTGGCAATGTGTGTAAAAGGGATGGGCTGGATGAGTGTGTGTGTGAATGAGAAGGTGAGAGAGAGAGAGAGAAGAAGAATGAGAGGATGGACAGAGGAAGAGTTTGTTTTTGTGTAGTTATTTGTTGTGCGTTCGCCTTTTTCATGTGTGTCTTTGCTCTATATGACTCCATTCATTTTCATATTTGTTTCAGTTTACAGATCAGTTCAGGGATGTTTGGCCCTGTGGGGTTACTTATAATTAGTCATAATGTTTACTAAAAGAATGATTATAATTGTAACCCAGAGCTTTGCTGAAAGTCAACCTTGAATACAAATTATTGTTTTTTTCAATGCATTCCAGGAGTTATTTTCCAAATATCCCTAAGCCTGCCGGGAGTGTGTTGCTTGCTTCATATGGTTGTTGCTGAGCTTATTATGGTTGTTGGTCCCCCAATATTTGATATTTGCCATCAAGACATACGCAGGATCTGCAGATCATGATTCAGATCAGCATAGACAGATGCTGAGACACAATTTCAACTTAATGGCAGAAAAAATATTGAATAAAGAACTGGAGGTGGGAGGGTAAACAATCACGTAAAGTATTTCTGAAGGATAAGCAATTTGAGCTAGTTGGGCTGGAAAAATAGGTATGCAGTCGATGTGTGTGTGTGTGTGTGTGTGGTTGGGTGGGTATATATAGATGTGGGTTTTAAAACTTTGGTTGTTTAGTGTAAAAAAACAACAAGCCGGGTCTTTGAGACGAGTACTTCTCCGAGAGGTATTTGAAAGATAATGTTCAGCCATCTAGCCTTTGAGTGTGGGCAAAAATATCTTAAATGTTTGCTTTGTAAGCTGAGGAAATAAAACAACAGCATGTCATGTGGCTGCATGCAATGGTAAGAAAGCTAAAACAAGTGAATCCCTCTTCTAACTATTTTCCTTCTTTTCCCTTTTCCCAATTACCTCCAGAGGGCTGTCGTGTCTTTCTTGGCGAGCGGGGCTGTCTCTGGTAAGGGTCGTTGGAGCCATAAAGCTCCACCGTCCCCAAGTTGAGCACTACCGTCTTCTGGACGTAGTCCACCACTGCCAGACCGTTACTGTTGCCAAACACCACACTGGGGAGGGGGGACAGAGCCGGACAGGAAGTGGGAGAAGCAGGTGAAGGAAAGGTAGAGAAAAAAGATGAAAGGTCAGAGGAAAATGTAGAAGTGGATTTTAGATATGGTCATGAGATGTGATTTAGAGCTAAAAACACTGTAGTCAGGTCATAAAACAGCTGGAAACAACATTTTCCTCGGAATGCATCATTTGTGTTGACAGGCCTGGTTGTCTCTGAAGCCTCGAGCAGTTGCTGCTTGAACTGCTAAATTACTTTTCCACTTTGCATATTTTCACTTTATTAGATTGCCTTTATAGATTTAAGCCATCCTATTAGAATAACTAGGATAAATAGTGTGCACTTTCATAAAAAAGCCCTGGTTCTAGTCTTGACTAAGATGATCCTGCATGCATACTTACAGACCGTAGGAGGAATTGAGCGCCAGACTTGTGATCTGCTGCGGGGGCTCTCCACTCACCCACACTAACTGGACCACCAAATCTACCTGGTAGCCTGCAGACTGCTTTAAAGGAGTACTGCGCACTCTGGAGAGATGACAGAGTGTAGAGAGGGGAGTAGAGACAGTGAGAGATACAGAAAGGAGGAGAAAACGAGAGGGAGAGACACGTTAAAAAACATGTTTTACAAACAGAATACCAAAGGGGTGCAGCTGCAGTTGTGAAGCCGTTGTGTGTTGAGAGTCTGGCATGAGAGGCTGCAAGGGGGGTGACGGGGGGTGCCGTGGCTGAGAATGCTTCAGGCGTTGACTAAGTCTGTGAAAGAGTGCTTGAAGCAAAAGCCAAGTATCTTGCATGTATGAGAATGTGTGCAAGTGCTGCTGGCACTTCTGAGAGTTTATGTAATGAGTGTGTGTGTGTGTGTGTGTGTGTGTGGTGTGTGTGTGTGTGTGTGTGTGTGTGTGTGTGTGTGTGTGTGTGTGTGTGTGTGTGTGTGTGTGTGTGTGTGTGTGTGTGTGTGTGTGTGTTTCATACTTGAGGCAGGGCATGTTGCCTCCGTCAGAGTTGTTGCTGCTGGTGGAGGGGTGTGACGGTGGGCCGCTTGTCTGAGGGGAGGCACCGGGGGTGGGAAGCGCCGGTTCTCCCCCGTCCGGAGATTCTATGTCGTTCAGCTCGTACTGCATTCGCACCTCTAGTAACTGTATGACAACACACACACACACACACACACACCACACACACACACACACACACACACACACACACACACACAACCACACACACCACACACACACACACACACACACACACACACACACACACACACACACACACACACACACACACACACACACACACACACACACACACACACACACACACACACACACACACACACACACACACACACACACACACACACACACACACACACACACACACACACACACACACACACACAGGTGTAAGAGAAAGATGTTAGCAGATTTTTATAAGAAAACATTGAAATCATGATAAAAGCACACAGAGCTGTAAACAACATTTCTTTGTGAATTCCTCTGAGCATGATAATAGTCATGTGACAGGGAGTGACATCCACATAGTCACTTTGATAATAGAGATTTGTTTGTGTGCTTGTGTGTGTAGGCAGATTGAGAGTCAAAGAGGTCCTCCGATGCTGAAAAATGAAGTTCCTTCCGAGTACTCCTTCAGGCTACTTCTCTGCAACCCCCGCCTTCACATAGCCCCACACACACACACACCACTTAAACTCACACAATGATGATAAGCTTCTCTCTTTTGCATTCTGTCAGTCTCATTAGCCCCACTGATATGTGGGAGTGAAGAGTGATCTTCAGATTCTCACTCCCGCCTGCCTCTGTCCTCCTCTACCTTCATTTCTGCGAGGTTATTGAGGTGTTTGACCTTGTGGGGAAGAAGGCTGCTCTCCTAATTACAGCTGCCAGCAAGTGCATATCTAGTCCTGATCCACATCCCAGTCACACTTGAAGCGTAGGATAAAACGCCTGAAATCTTCTCTGACACATGCATCAGCGCTCACTGGCAGTCATCCATAGAAAACACTTCCAACAGGAAGGTGGCTGATTTGAATCAGTCTACTGTTGCAAGACACTTGAACTCTACAGATTCGTGACAAATCTTTGCTGTGAGAAAAAAGTATTTGGAAGAACAAAATAATTATGCTAACACATTCAAAAGGCACCAACAGCTAAAACATTCAGATTCATTTGCAAACCTGCAAGGAAAAAGCAAATCACATCACTCCCACGCACTTTGATTGACAAGTGATCTCTGTCTCCAGATTGTTGTGAGCAATAACACCACGGTAGTGATCGCTTGGGAGAAAAATACTGCCAAAATTAAAGTATTTAGCTTGTTACCAATTTAACACTCCACTGAAAAGTATACACTCAGCGTATACAGTATGCACGCACCGTCTCGCTGTGAGCATTTTCCCACGGATTAAACAGCATTTCTCTTTTACAGTGTGTCATTTAACAACATCACGCCCCCATGAGCATTTACGTCGCAATCAAGGCAGATTATAATGTAGCTTTGCTTGTTCACTGCTTCGTCTGTTGGCATGGCAACCATACTGCCTTTGACGAGGCAGATCTGACTTGGTGTTTGTGCATATGACTCGCAACACCTTTAAACTTAAGAGAAAGGGAGGGTTTACAGCAAAAACATTACAAAAAAAGCTAATAATGCAATGCCGCTAATAACTGTGCAATATATACCTGGCTGCTGTATCTTCAGAACTGTGACAGGATGTGCATTTTGTAAATTGTGTAATTTTTTTTAATTAAATGTTTGATTTGTATGCATGCTTCTAAGTCAACATTAAGCTGTCTTTGGCTCTTTTCTGCTGTAACAAATGTAAATGTCCCCTCTGTGGGACGAACAAAGGTATTCTGATAAATGTATTCTTGAAGGAAACGTACAATGTCGTCTCTTTTTCGTATCCATGCTTGGATGGTTGCAAGGTTCTTACAATACAAATGAGACGAGATGAGATGTGTTCACCCAGATTATAACAGTGACCCACCTGCACCACCTCGGTAGTTACTTCCAGTTTGCTGAAGCGGTAGATGATAATATTCGCTGACACCCCGGCCACACATAGCATCCTGCTCTCAGGGCACCAGGCCATGATCTGAATGGCGAAGGGGTCTTCATCTGACGTCTCGGTGCTGCCCTTGTCCTCCTTGGACCTGTTTCTGTCAAAAACCTTGGCTGTTTTGAGTTTATAGAGCACCTGGAGCATCACTAGGAAAAAAAGAGAAAAGAGGAAGGCATCAGTGGCAATGCAGGAAGACTCAGACCTTTCAAATATGACTATACATAATATGATTTCAGAGTACACAATTGAAATAATTATTCATTCTGACTTAATCCAAGCAATACTTGTTTTGTTTATATTGACTGTGCGAAAGCCGGTGCTCCAGTTCAGTCAAGTTTAATGAAAAATACATTTCAATATTAGTTTTTAAAGTGGTTTCCTTTCCCAGAGCTGAACGATATATTACAATATCTATAATTGTGGAAGCATAAACAGCGCTAAGCCAATGAGAGAACTCACTTGCAGAGGCATCCCAGAACTTCACAGTCCCATCAGCATGCCTGGGAATTAAAGAGAGGAAAACAAAGATAAGTATACAAGGCGGGTGAATTTTCAGTCTGCGTCCTTTTGTCTGTTTCCTCACTTTTCATAAGATTTGCAGCAACAAAATAACTCAGTAATATCAATTGAATAATAACTGAATATTGTGTCCACAATTCATATTTAAACACAAATCTCCTCTTTGGGAGGATTTAACTAAAATACTTTCATCATTTTAGTTGGATTTTTTAGACAAGAGGTAACCAGTAAGAATACTATATGTCCAAAAGTATATTGACCTCCCTATCCACCCTTTGTTTTTTGTCTTACTGCTTTTTCCATGTTTTTGTCTAGGCCCAATAAGTTCAAAAGTTTGGAGTACATCCTTTCTCAAAATGACAATGCCTACATGCACAATGAATGAGGAAATGTTTGTTTCTCTTAAATATTTGACTTGCCAGAGAAAAGCCCTGGGGTCTCATTTATAAAGCCTTGCGTAGGATGCACGTGGGAAGGTGGCTTACGTAGGACAAAGCAAATAAATACGCACAAAAATATTCCAATGTATAAAACACTGCGCACGCACGTCCTACGTCGGTTTCCCTTTATAAATCAAGTCGAAATGCGGCGCAGCTTTTGCGGGCTTCACGTAACGCCCATATTTGCCTACAAATAGTCAAAGAAACGCCCCGTATTAATATTCATTTTGAGTGGCTGCATGAAGAAGATCGCAGGAAATGACGACAGAACAGCTAAAAAAGACATTTCACACCGTGTCAGATGTTGGTTCTTTTGGGGAGGTGGAGACAAATCACATTGTTTGGTGGATGCAGTTTGAACCAGAGTAGCAGCAAAACAAATAAATAAGTGGTTCGAAAAAAGTGAATGATAAAATACACATAACCTTCCTCAGGCAGTGTGTCTGTGTTTGTGCCGGGGACAGGAGACCCCCCATGATGAGCAACTGTAAGAAAGTATCGGGATCCCTGCGGAGTGGAGTCTATTCATTTTATCTATTTGTATTTGGTGGTTTGTGTTCCAGCTGTCTCCACTGCAGCCCGTGTGTCTCAACCCCCCCGCAGCAACTCTATCCACCACTTAAAAGAAATAAAACTAATGTGTTGTGTTATATCAGCTGCCAAATCTACCAAATATATGGTGTTCTTAGTTTCCATACCTCCTGTGTTTTAAGAGTGACTTATCAAGTCTTAGCAAACAACATAAAACATGATTAAACATGATAGTATATAAAACCATGCTTGTATCTATACAACCTATAGAAATGCAAAACGGCCTCAGTTTAGACGTAATTATGTCCTTCTGTTTACCGCATCATTTATGAGAATACATGTCATAACATTAAGACAACATATTCAAAGTGATTTTCAATAACATATCCGTATATATACTTATTTCTCCAAGTTAGGTTTTTGTGTGCACTGAGGAGTCTCAAACAGGCGTTTGTTAAATCATTTTATGATTGGCTTCAATACATTTTTACGAATTAATTCTTCATATATGATACATGAGAGGTAACATTTTATTTATGGTATTATTTCCACATATTTCTCTCCATTCTTCCTTAGACCTTTACCCCATCAGACACCTGAGTTGGATTACCAACTACAGTAAAAGCCTCTACGCTGTATCCCCAAACATCAGTGGCAGACTTCACTTAAGCTTTAGTGGCTGAATGGAAGCAAACCCCTGCAGTCAGGTTCCAAAAACATATTGGTATAATGCTAAGATGTCATTTTTAGCTACTTAGAGTTAATTGTTGTACTAACAGAACATCCACTTTGCCTATTTTCCTAAAAATAATAAAATCTACACAGGATTTCTTAATAGCAGTGTTGAGCAGGGCAGCTTCTCCACTGGTGCCACAGAGTCATAAACAAAGTGTATTTTGGTTGCCATTTTTTCCCTCACCCCTTATCATTTTGTTGCCAATTCAGCTGAGTGGAATGAAAGAGGAATATTTGTTGTGTGCAGTGGCACTCTTAAAAAGAGAGTGAAGCCTGTACAGAATAATGATAGGGGCATGTAGGGGTGAGGAGAGAGAGAGAGAGAGAGAGAGAGAGAGAGAGAGAGAGAGAGAGAGAGAGAGAGAGAGAGAGAGAGAGAGGGAGAGGAAGGAGAGGAATGAAAGCCTCCTCCTGCCAAACCCATACCTCAATGTCACTTCTTCAGTGCGTGTGTTCTGTTAAAAACGCCCCTACTCCCCTTGTCGACAGCTTAGAGCGGAATAATAAACATTAAAATGGAGCGAAGTGCACATGATTGGAATATATAAAGACCTACAGTAAATATTGTAAGACAAACGCTTTGTTGTGGAGCCCTGACAGTGCAGGAAAGGTGAAAGTAATTGAGTTGCAGCAGGACCATAACGATAATGCTAATGAAATCAGAATTGTCTTACCCAGTGATGATGATCTCTGGGTAGCTCTGTGTACCTTGACCCCAGTTTCCACCACTAATAGGCCATTCCTGGATAGACAGCAGACACACACACAGTACATTAGAGCAGATGAGAAACCACAGGTAGAGAGCACAGTTATGTCAATAAACAACGCGTCAACAGAGACATTGATTTTGGAAAGAGATGACATGATAAAACTGCACATGTGTGAGTGTGCATGAAGAAAAGAAAGGCAGGGATCCTTTGTGCCGCAGTGTGTCTTGCAATTATACATTATACACGTCAATGAGTGTGTGTCTTCGTCTGAGAGGGGCGTGTGTGTTGGCGGGGGGTTTGGCTTTGAACACGTTGAAGCATACAAAGGTCATCAGGATGACTCATGGTGACCTTTATGTGAGAATGCCCTCCCGCAGCTCAGCCAGGCTTTTGCTTAACAAAAAGAGGGAGGAAATCGCAGCAGCTAGGCAGGCAGTTTGGGTCAGTACATGCTGACATTTCCGACAGAAAAAGCTAGAACAAGGCGACAGGGAAAAGAACATAGGCATACATAATGGCTTAAAGAGCAGGGGGTCTGTCTTAGATAATACAGGAGTTGAAGAAGAGGATGAGACCAGAGAGGAGGTGTTCAAAGAGAAGGGATGATGTTAGGTAATATGACACTATTATATTATAGTTTGTTTGGCTTTAGAGAAACATTAAGAAATACATTTTACCACTAAAATGATTTATGCTGAATGCACTTTGTAGAAAAAGTATGTATGTATGTGTCCTTTTCATGAAACCTTGTTGTTCTTGGAGTACGCTAAGATGGTTAGAGGGTGTTGTATGGGACATTTACAATTCAAATGTAGCTCTTATAAAACACTGCTATCCAGAACAACATTAAGAAACATTTCACCCTTGGAGTACTTTACTCTGTTATACATTATAATTATACCATGGAAGGTATGCTGAAAGAGTTATTAGATCGAGGGGTGATTATTTCATTTTACTTAAAAACTAAAGACTTGTATTTTCTGCTTAGAAATAGTTTCAAACAATGATTCACATTCATCCAACTTCAATATTTCACAGAAATAATAATGTAATTTGGTACTAACTATTGGAAAAAGATTAAAAGTCTACAGCCATGTTAGCGGCCGAACCTACAAATGGCACAACAGAACTTTGAGCTAAATGCATCAGCATGCTAACATGTTTATCAAGTACTACCTTAACCTTAGCATGCTAACATTCGCTAAAGAGCTCTAATCACAGCGGAGGCTAAAGAGGATATCTTTAGTTCTTCAAATGTTACAGAAACTAGCAATATTGTTCAATTAGTACACTTAGTTTAAACAAATTCCATTTAATTGCCGGTGTAAATGAAAGGATGGTATATTCTGAATACAACAGGTTGAACGTGTCAAATTTGGCTACCGAAAATTACAAAATACAATTAATACATTAAAAAAGATTGGGTTTCAATTATAATTTTCTTTAAAATTGGTAATTTGTTATTACAGTAAACTTTCCATCTGATATTTACCACTAATATAATTAATAGGTGAAATATTTTTCCATTAAGATTCCCAAGATAGTGAGAAAAACTCAAAAATAGAGCTTCCCTATAGGCCTACTGTAAATTACCTTTTTGCTGTAGCCCTGTCGTTTCTGCCGCGAGCCGACGGAGTAAAGTGCAGGTATGAGGTCCACAGGGCAGTCGGCAAAGTACTCGCAGCAGGTCACAGGCGACTCATGGATAGTCAGAGGATACGGGTTCTCGAATATGGGGTAACTGTTAGCGAGAGGGCACAGACAAAGTCACTCCTAATTCAATTAGTCTGTCTGCCTAGTATCAGTGCATTAATCTCATTCAGTGCTGCCTGCATACTAAAGAATAAGATGTCAACTGTGACATTTTAGCCCATATTTAAGAAACAAAGGAAGAGTTGTTTGATAAGAGTAAGACTCACCCATTTTGTGCAAGGTCGATCACCACTAAATCCTTTTCTAGAAGGACCACCACAGCGTAAGGTTCCTGAAAATCTGCGAAACAGCGAGACAAGTCATTCATCACACCACACTTCTACTGTAGTAATGTCATAACTCATGAGAGAGAAATCCCCTGAAATCTCCAAAACCACAGGGGAAGAATTCCTCAGACTTTATATGGCAAATGTTATTACCATATCTGTGCCCTGAAGATGTGAGGGCAGGAACGCTTACTGCTTCAGATTCATTAATCTATGTGATTTATGTCTGTGGGGAATAAAGCTCTGGTTAAATATTTGTCTGATTTGGGTAGAATTAGATTAGAATTCCTTTTGTATTCAACCTCAGGATGATTATTTTAAACCTTTGTCTTGAATGAAATGCTAAAACGAATGCACCAAAATGTCAACGTTTAACATTAAGATATTGATTTTTTTGAAGGTACAATCTGAAATACTGACTTGTAAACCAGCATTGTGGAATGAAACATTCTAAAAGTAATAATAAAAGGGGACACACACATCCTCCAATACATAAAAAACAATGTATAAATCGAGGTCAGGTGTAACAGGAAGGATGCAGCATAATTCCTTACATCAGTTTTGCCCAGCTGTGTCTATTATGTTTGGCAAGGGTTAAATGCTTTGCTACGGATCACCTTGACAAAATCTAAGCTGAAATCGCCTGCAGCCCTTAAGCTTCATCTCGGTTCATTGGGGAAAAACAGCACAGGCCTTCATGGCAGACATTTAGACAGTAGCTACAATTCTGAAATATAAATTATAGATGTACTCCTTCCGTTTAGAGCAGCATGCCTGGGGCTGTCAAGAGTACACACATGTTTAAACACTTTGACAACTGTTTTCACTACAACTCTGGTTGTCCTTCTCATGTATCTTCCCCAGCGCTGGTCTGCAAGTGGTTCACATTCTCTTTAGATCACTGTACAGTTTGTCCGTTTAGGAATTGGCAGTTGACAATAGCACAGTTTCATCAGTCATGCACCTGGCTTTGAAACTTTATTCTTTAAAAAAAGTATTTTGCCTTAAATAAATGTGCCCCAGTGTACTTGGCACCAAATCATTGAAAACTCTCCTCTAAATGATAACACTTTTATTACGAGGCATTTGAAGCACCTCTTCCTTCATTGTAATAATGGCCAATTTCATGCCTGATTTACCTAAAGATATTAACTATTTACAAACAAGGCAATCAGCAAAAAAAAGCTTTTCTATGATGAAGATATGTTTTGGGTAAGTTACAAAAAGGGATGTGATTTCTCATCCCTTCATAATGAATTAGCCTTTCTTAGTTTTCTATGGGAAACCTCAACCTACTGAGGAAGACTGAGACTTTCTGCTATAACTGATGTTAAGTACCAATCTTCAAGTTTGAGATCTAATCTTGTTTTCTGAGAATGACTTAAACAGTGTGTCTTTAAATTAGTTGTACTCTGAGTCTTTGTGTCTGTCTGCATTCTATACCTGTCTGCTGCTTTCTCTGCCTGCCCTGCACTACTATGTGTTAAGAAGATACTTGTTCTACAAATTACTTTCCCATTGCATCCAGATCATCATGGCTTTTGCACCTCCTCTACACTAACTCCGCTCACATACACGTTGTCAGCCAGATATGCATTGTGTAATCCAAAGACCCAGTAATGTCCATTACCAGATGAAATCAGTGGGTGTTAACATCAGGTTGCTAGTGAGAAGTCGCTATTATTACGTAACTAACTGATCCTCTCTTTAACTGCACTTAAATATATGTTTATGTGCCGCATACAGAATACTGGATCTAATGCGTACTAAACCAAGTAGAAGTTGAGCTGAATGGTATGGGAACCTGTCCCGTCAACTTCTACTTGTTTTAGTTGTTGACTCCACAATACAGTAAATAAGATAATAATTGTATTTAGATGAGGCGATTGCGTACAAGGAGATGAAATGAAAATATAATAGTGCGTGTGTCAGATAATGAAACTAGAACAGGATTCATCCCCTTGGGAAATTTCATATTTATTACAGAAACACTAACACAGGGGCAAGCAATTCAACATAATTAAAAAGATAGAATGGTGTGTTTGTGTGTGTGTGATTACATGACAACAGATATAATGCTCAGACATGCACAATAAAAAATAGAAACTCACCATTAGCGTATGGTGTCTCACACAGTGTGAGGAAGTCTACGATAGGATAGTCCATCTCCAGCACAGCGGTGCTCTTCCCATGCATTACTGTCAAACATGGCCGCCGGCCCACCGTGTCATAGGAGAGACCACCAGACAGGATCATGAAGGGCTCACTGGAACATACACACACACACACACTCAGTAAGTAAAACCTTTTACAGGCTTTTTATATATGTGCAATTCACAAAAGACAACACAAGTTTTTGATTGGTCTTCCACGTCTATATTGTAAATCTTCTATACCTACAATATACTGTTGATGAGGCCAATAGGGACTCTAACTTAAGTAAGAATATAACATAAACTTGACAAAAAGACAGACAGACAGACAGACAGACAGACAGACAGACAGACAGACAGACAGACAGACAGACAGACAGACAGACAGACAGACAGACAGACAGACAGACAGACAGACAGACAGACAGACACGTTCAAGCATGCACAAGAGAGAGCTTACCCAATTCTAGTGGTTTTGTACTCTACTTTGAGAATGGGTTTACAAGGCTCTGGCTTCTTCCCGTCCTTGGGCTGTTTTCCTAAAATAGAACAAACAGAAGTTACTTTGGTTTATCTCTCTTCACCTCCTCTCTTCTTGTTTCTCCTGTCATCTCCTTTTTTTCCCCTCTGTAGAAGCTGTTCAGAGCTGCACTTAAATAGCAGCAGTGAACAGTAGCCAGACAATAACAAGAGGCAATTTATCATAGAGGATAAAGATAAATGCAGGCGCAGGGACATGCAAAGACGGTGTGGCCATCATGATTTTCCAACCTTAAGGGAGGTCTGAGTGAAGGCAAATGTGCCCATTCATCATACAGGTATGTGTGCCTATCTATGAATATCAGAAAGCTAAATAAGGGGCTGAATATGAGAAAAAAATAAAGAGCCAACAAGGCATGTTTGTAAAAGAAATAACTTTTGTAATAACTGCATCTAAATAACAGCGATCTAAAAGACCATTAAAGAAGGACTTATAAGCCTTACTTAAACCTGTCAAAGGAATGTGCACAATTGCCCATTAAATACCAAACTAATTAAGTATGCAGCAGTGGGAGAAACAACTAATTAAAAAGCCTGTGTGGTGAAATCCTTTCTGCAATCCCCTACATACAAAACCAGCTTGAGCAACTGGTTAGAAGTTTTCCCTTTCATTTAATTCCCTTCATGGTTCGTCTTTCTGACTCTAACGCTCTCTCTGTCCATTTGTGGCACTCTGTCTAGTTCTTCCAGGCCCTTCATCTGGGTGAGTTGTCAAAGTGCTCTGTGGGGTGAGTAGGTGTGTGGGGAGACAGCGTAGTATGGATTAAATGCATCTTCAAAAGAGCAGACTTGCTTTTCTGCAGGAAATAAACAGAGCACCGGCACTAAAGTATGCACGTGCAGAAACAAAGTGCAGCAAACAGAGGCAGGCCATAATTGAACTGAGAATAATCCTCTAAATGAAATGGGGAAACGATGAGGGAGCCATGTGTAGGGAGGGTTTATATGAGTAAAGAGCGGGTCATGTGACTGACAGAGGAAGCTGAAGGCAATGCGGTCATGTATTCTATAACTTGTACTAACACCTCAAAGTAATCAGACAACACAGAATTAAGAGCATTTTGATGTTATAAGCTAAGTAGTGAATGGTTAGTCTTAGATAAAGTTTGACACCAAGAAGTATTCGTATCAGGTACAAAGAAACAACTTGAGCAATGTTGCCCACATTATTATCATTAAATAACTTTAATTATACAGCACCTGCTTTACAAAACATATAGGAAAACTGCAAACAGCAAAAACATATTTTACAGAGAAAAAAGGAAATAATTAAATAAGAAGGAAATGAATAACAGTAAGTACTGATGGTGGGGTTATGAATTAAAGTTAAGATAAAACAATGTACTTCAAATATGTTTGAGTATTGTGCTCTAAGACCATCATGCATCTGGGGGTGTCAGAATCACTCCCCGTATATTGCACTATGGCTACGCTCTGCTGATTATATAAGGAGTAGTAAATGTGAGTATGTTAGGGAGTGAGTTCAGACACAGCCTGTGTGCTGTGTGTGTGTGTGTGTGTGTGTATGTGTGTGTGTGTGTGTGTGTGTGTGTGTGTGTGTGTGTGTGTGTGTGTGTGTGTGTGTGTGTGTGTGTGTGTGTGTGTGTGTGTGAGAGAGAGAGTGTGTGTGTTTGTGTGTGTGTGTGTGTTTTCACTCCTTACCGTGCGGGGTGATTGTCTGTATGGGCTTGCCCTGGCCTCTGATGTTCCATATGGTCAGAGTTCCATCTGAGTGACTGCAAATGAACTGCTTGCCCTCGTGATGCCAGGCAACTGAGTGGATAGCCTAGGAAACGACATGCAAAAAGTGGAGAGGGGGGGGGGGGGGGGGGGGTCAGTGTGTCAGCAAAATTCAGCATCATGTGCCAACCATCTCATATCTCACTAACGCTACAAGTTTGTCACATTACTACAGCTAGAGAGTACAGAGTACACTATTCATATGTGGGTTAAAAGCCGCTGACCGGATTAAATAGTCTTCAACAGATGGTGAAAGTGAGATAAAAGAGTCTGACCCAGGATTTCAGATCATTTCCTGTGGCTTAAATGCATATATTAGAAGAAGTTTGTATATGAAGATTTGCTGAATGGGAAGAAAAGCCAGAAATGGATTGGTCATTTTATTCAGAGATGCCAGGAGCAAGGTTTTATAACCATGGATATATCTTTTAAGAAGTCAATTTAACAAAGACGCAAAGTGCAGTAATGAAAAATCTTCAATATAATTGAAACATTCTGGTGCGTTCAGCTTCATCTGGCCTCATTTGAAGCCATGGATTTAAGATAAAAGCATTGAGTGAGTCTTTCTTGTTAGAACAAAAATCAAAGAGAGGGTAAACCAGAATATCAAAACAGTCAGTGTTGTGTACATAAGAAGTAAGCAAGGAAGTTACAAAAACAACAAAGAGAAAACTAAATGAATAACATGTCTTATATCCACGAGTGAAAGATAAAATAAAACAAAGAATCAAATGGATTCAATGAAAAGCTTAAATACAAATACTAGAATACAGCAAGACAGGAAAGAGTTATAAAGATAGTGCCCTTGTAAGCCTGGCTCACCACAATGTATCTTCTGACAAGCAATCATTGAAAACACAAACGCATCATACCCAAAGTGTGCCAGAAAGGGCACCATCTTAGTGATGCCCTTTTCATAGCTCAGGATTAAACCCTGCGTACGTTTTGACATTAAATAAATGTGATGGTGTGCACCAAATCTGCGGGAAGCTCGCAACAGCTTCCAAAGCAGTTTCATGAGACTTGTCACATGAGTTTTCACCATGTAGATCATCTCTGACGTGATTGTTAGTAATAGGTATAACCTTTTCTTTAAAAAGTGCTTGCTGGTAATGCTTACGTACATACTTAGCACATTGCACTCTTTAATATTCAAGCTGAAGCTCCTCTTATTGTTTCAGTGTGACCTTGCCACTGGATTTCCTCATCTCCTTGTCTCACATCGCTCATCTCACGTGAATTATTTCCTCTCTGTCAATGCCGATATGAGCACACCGTCAGGTTAAGTTAATCTCTTCAAAAGAAAGCTGCTTTTTTAAGGTGTATATCCATTTTGCCCTGGGTGTGTCATTAATCATAAACGGGGCTGTGAGTCGTTTTTCAGGAAAACGAAATGAGGCAGTGTGGGGAACCAATGTCAGCGGGTGGTCATATGACACCGGTAATATGCTAACCACAAAAAATGTAATTGTATCAGTCCCAGATCATATTTATATATTTTAAGGGTTATTGGAACCCATCAATTGATTGCTGGTCAAGTATTCAATCAATCACATACAGTTGCAAGAAAAAGTATGTGAACCCTTTCTGCATAAGTTGGTCATAAAATGTGTTCTGATCTTCATCTAAGTCACAACAATAGACACACACAGTCTGCTTAAACTAATACCACACAAACAATTATATGTTTTCATGTTTTTATTGAACACACCATGTAAACATTCACAGTGCAGGGTGGAAAAAGTATGTGAACCCCTAGGCTAAAGACTTCTTCAAGAGCTAATTGGAGTCAGGAGTCAGCCAACCTGGAGTCCAATCAATGAGACGAGATTGGAGGTGTTGGTTAAAGCTGCCCTGCCCTATAAAAAATACACACCAGTTTTGAATGTGCTATTCTTAAGAAGCATTGCCAGATGTGAACCATGCCTCGCACTAAAGAGCTCTCACAAGACCTACGATTAAGAATTGTTGACTTGCATAAAGCTGGAAAGGGTTACAACAGTATCTCTAAAAGCCTTGATGTTCATCAGTCCACGGTAAGACAAATTGTCTATAAATGGAGAAAGTTCAGCACTGTTGCTACTCTCCCTAGGAGTGGCCATCCTGTAAAGATGACTGCAAGAGCACAGCGCAGAATGCCCAATGAGGTGAAGAAGAATCCTAGAGTGTCAGCTAGAGACTTAAAGAAATCTCTGGCACATGCTAACATCTCTGTTGACGAATCTACGATACGTAAAACACTGAACAATAATGGAGTTCATGGGAGGACACCACGGAGGAAGCCACTGCTGTCCAGAAAAAACATTGCTGCACGTTTGAAGTTTGCAAAAGAGCACCTGGATGTTCCACAGCACTACTGGCAAAATATTCTGTGAACAGATGAAACCAAAGTTGAGTTGTTGGGAAGGAACACACAACGCTATGTGTGGAGAATCCAAAGGGTTCACATACTTTTTCTTGCAACTGTACATGTAGGCTTGAGTGAGCTTGATGAGACAGAGCCATTGTTCTGTGACATCATGCTGTATAGACGCACAACTCACATTATCTCATTACACAGTTAATGACTCATTCCCTGCCACTCACAAAAAGATACACAAACGACACATTAATAAGTTATTTTTTTATATTCTTTAGTTATGGAGTTTACGGATTTCCTGCGCATGAGTATTATTCTCTCAGAAATAATTAGAGCCTTTTTCCAAAATGAGTAATGTCTTATCTAAGCTGTTGGCGGATGTGCGTTCTGGTCGGCAGAGCGACAGGGACAGGTGGGATGCAGTTTGTCAAAGATTTGTTGCCAGAAGTGATTCACTGTGTGCGGTGCCAGGTGGCGTGGATGTAGTTACAGCAGGTGTGCCGAACGCAGTGTGAACACATTTAAGATTCTGTAAAATGTTGAACATCCCACACTCTGAAACTAAGGTACATCTTATGTTGACTGGAGCCCAGTTTAAGGATATGATCTGCAGTTATTTAAGAAAATGCTAACTGCTTAAACGTATCACTTTCCTATGAGAAAAAGCCGTCATACTGTACATCCATTCAGAGATGATTTGACACTGAATTTGGAAAATCTATCAGTCCATGTGCCAGTACCAATAGGGAACAATGCACTTTGCTTAATTGGAAAATGAGTAGGGTAATTGGAACACATGGTACCCATCATATCATACAGTACCAATTAAAACGACTAATTTCATGATGTATTTCATTAGGTCAGTTTTCACAGATCGGTATTTGGGGGATTAGAGAATTACGTCAACACTTATTAGAGTCACACACATGAGCAAGTGTGTTGCCACACATAGAAACACACACTGCCACACAAACTAACTCAAGGCAACCAACACACAAATCAAGATTGGTGAAGGAAAATAGATATGCACATAAATATGCACATCACGGTCCCAATTAGAACTGCTTGTGCCAGCGCCATGTCACACTGGGATACAAAGTCAATTTAGCCTTAAAGCGTCACACACAGAAAACTGAGAACATGAGTCTAATCTACCAATAGATATGTTACAAGTTTATATTTATTCAGCTTTATAATATATACCAGCAGTCTATGAATATTCAACATAGTGTTAACTTCTTATAAGTGAAGTAGTAAGAGGACATTCAAGGGACTGATGTGGTAAAAAACATAATCTCACAACAACCTCTTCAACATCTTTATTTCTGATAGGAATTTTGTTTAGGAATTAGGAAAATATATCTAAACTAGTGTGAAGGATTCACCTTTTCAGGAACATTAGTAATGTTACAACTTGACAGTTAGAGCACCACAGAGACTGACCAACCTATTAAGGGGAATGGTATACTGTCCTTCAATGGATCGTGCACCAGACAAACGACCCTTCAACATGAGAAGTAAAGTTATCCATATTATTAACATGTAGAGGCGGGTCTTTAGGCAAAATAAAAGTGTCCTTAACTAAGCCAGACTTGTGTCAGACAGAGTTTGCCAATAATTAAGCATTTGCTTTTAATCTTGACAGACAACCAGATGGAAAGAATTTCCATATGCGGACAAATCAAATAGAGTTAACTGAGCTGTCAATCAAAAGAATAGTTCAGGATATTCATTCTGACAATCTATTGTCCTATATCAGCAACCTCAACAGTTTTAAAAAGTGCAAAGGCCTTGTTTACAACTTGTTTTGAAACACAGTGAACCAGCATTCAAGGTTGCTTATCAAATGAATGTTGGTGTTTAAATATGTTAATAACTCAAATACCTCCAGAGACAAAAGCTGTTATTTTTTGGATGTTGCTTTGAAAGCAAGTACTAATGCTTAGTGATTATGTAAACATGTGTACTTTTTAAACGTTTTATTGTTGGCCTTCAAAAATAGCTTTGAGGATTGTGTCTGGCTCAGACAATGTTTTACTCTAAAGCTGTTTGTATTTGGGCTCAGATTTAGACACACCAAGCTGCATTCGTGCACGTTAACCCTGCAAGAAAGTTACTGCGCTTTTGGGCAAAAACAGCTGGTCCCTTTTCCTTGATTTAAGAGAGAAATAGATAAAGAGAAATATATAGCAAGAGAGAAAGAAACACAAACAATAAACAGTCAAAGTACAAGAAAAACTGAAAAGATTATTTGAAAAGAAAATAAATACTTAAATTATTAGGAAGGAAAACATTAAAGAAAGGAATTTAGAAAAACAGAAATGTACAGGACTTCGATTTGATAAAATAAAAATAAAAAGTGGGAAGTTGTGCTCCATACTCTTATGGAGCACAACTTCCCACTTTTTAGATTTATTTTAGGACTGTAGGATAAATAAGTGAGTTTGAATAATAGGCCTTTAAAGGGTTATGATACAAAAATAAAATGCATTTAATAAGGCGAGAAAAAGCAACCAGGAGCCAAACAGGAGGGGAAGGGAGGAAGACGAAAGGGATCTGGCTGTGATGTCAGCCATTCATCAGGCCGGATTGGGACCGAGGAGTTGAGTCAGACGGAGCAGAGTGGAGCGGGTCAGAGTGACGGATGCTCTCTGGCCAGCACTGGAAACCCTTACTGCTGATACACAGCTAATAATAGACAATCAACTGAAAGACACCGAGTGGAAGTTGTGCTCTCTCAGCTCTTTGAACGCTTGTAAAAACAAAAGTTTTATCACCTCTGCCGTTTGCCCAGAACTCTGCCAGAAACTTTGTTGCTGTCTTGGAGCAAGGTTTAAGTTCCTGTTTCCTGACAATTCTGAAGGTTGACGAAAGTAGAACTAACAAAAGCTGCCTTTATCCGGTCATCACCATTTCATTATTTCCCTTATGAGCACTTGCTGACGTTGTGTGAGAAAGTTCTCAAGAGTTGTGCCAAGGTTTTAGAAGACAACATTACTCAGAATTTCTTTTTGTATCTCTATCCTTTGAAATTCAAGAGTCTGCCTTTCATTTGTTTAAATACCCAATTTTCAATAGAAGAATTAAATATTCTTCAAGACATGCATAATCCGCAGTCTGAAACCATCACTGCATCGTCTGCTGTTGAAAAGGAGAAGAGGAAAAGCTTCCTTTTTCATTTCAGTCGAAAACTTTGATACGTGGCATCAAGCTTCTAGGCAAATAGTGTTTGAATGAAATCACAGAGCAGAAAAATATATTTTGCAATGGATGTAATAGCTGTGAAAAGGTATTCACCCTAAAGGACTGTTAGCAGCAGCTATACAGAGTTTTTACACAGTCAAGTTGACTGCGAACATTTCCAACTGTAGCAACAGATCCTTGCAACATCAACGTCCCATGGTTGATGTTAAATACATATTTAATGGGAGAAATGGGCTAAGCAATGCAAAAAGTCTAATATCTTCAAATTAGCCAAACCATTAAGACACCACATAACTCTTGAAGTGAGATTTAACACCATTGCCATTCCATCAAAAACACTCCTGCACACCATAAAGTTGTTGAGTTATAGGAACAAAACACTACAAACAAGAGGGAATCTGAAATACTGCACACCGTCAGTCGTGCTCCGCTTGATAAATTGACAATGTTTGTGCATAAGGAGAGGAGTACACCAATCAACAAGGTAAGACATATCTTATCACATCCATTTGAGCCCCTTCAGTTGTAAACAGGAGTTCTTATCTTTACAAAGAACATTGGATACAAAAAACATCATAATCTTTACCGACTAAATGTTGTAAATTCATACAAAAAGTGCAGAGACAGACCATAGGTGTAGAATTTTTTTTTGTAATACACCTTATATATCAAATATGTATAATAACTTGTGTAAAAGGTGTAATTACCAGGTAATACTATAACATACTGATAAAGAGATATTCACTTTTCTCCATACCACCCACCCTTACCCTGACAGAGCCTTGGTGTGTTTATCTCCCCCAGCTTTTAGACTATTTAATTATTGTTGATTACAACCGTGTCCACAGCAGTAGCAACAACAAAAAGTAATAACCACAATTCACTAGTGATGCTGCACTGGAGAACACAAGAGTTGTCTCCAAAGCCCCTAAAGGCTGGTCTGGGGCAACATTAAACTTTAAATATATCTCACTCCAATAACCATTTGGATGTTTTAGCCGGGGGAATAACTCCAAGACATTCCAACAGAGAGGAAAAGAACAAATGTGTGTTGCAGGCTATTTCTCTTCGTCAGTGTGAATCACAGCGAGTCAAATGAGGAGCAGTCACCGCCCACTCAACCCCCGGTCTCTAGAGAGGAGTAACCGTAGGGGTTTGGAGCTCTTCTGGGAGATTCAATACTAGAGACTCTAATGCCCTAGGAGCAGCAGGGGGATATTAGCTTATCTGGGAGAGGGGGATAGAGCAAAGGCAGCGAGAGAGAAGAGAGAGAACCGTGCAGATTGAACATAGAAAATCCACTCTCATTTCTGTGTCTATGTAGTCCTGAGTGACTCTTATCTCAGCGTGCTTACAGCAGCACAGCACTGCCAATGAGGTGAGCAATAACATGAGTGTTATAGTAATCTCATTATCTTAAACCGCCAGTCTGCTAAGCACTATGGACACCACTGTATGACCATGAACATGTTGATTGCGTGTGTGCGTCTGCTTAAACCTCAATGACAAGTCTATGAATGCGATGTCATTGTCACATTTAGTCATATAAGCAGACACTATTTGATTAAATGGAATTGGTAACATTTTCCAAAATTGGTATTACATTATTACATTACATGTCATTTGTTAGACGCTTTCATCCAAAGCGACTTACATACATTCAGTACTGTGGACAATCCCCACAGGAGCAATTTGGGGTGAAGTGTCTTACCCAGGGACACAACAACATGCTGACTGCAGTGGCACTCGAACTTGCTATTAAAGAAACAAAGGCTGCCACACATTTTGACACAGCTCAATGATAGGAGATACAAACAATCCACAGCAATACAAAAGTGGAAATAAGTTTTCAAATAAAAAGTAATCTGATAACAGACTGGGTTTGACACACGGTCCAGCTGGTTCTAAGCAGCTCTGACACTGTGTCTCTTTTTTATTATTGTGTCGTCTTTTATTTATAGACACTCACTATTGCCTCTGGGGAAGCCAATAAAGCCACATGACTCAGTGCTTTATAAAAGGTGGACCTTTTACAAAATGTTGCTTTTTATATGCAAGCGCAATCACTGTGCATCACTCCATGAGAAATGAGCACTCCACTGTATGAATCATGACATTGTTAAAACATGCATTTCACAACACAAACCTCTTTGTAAACAGCACTGCTAATGTGAAAAAAAAACCATGTTCAGTTGTGAGTGAACACCAACCAAAGAGTTGTTTTCATTTGTGAAGTGACTTAGAATACTTATGGATTCATACTTTCTAAAAAAACGGCTAACATTGATGCAACATTTTATGGAAATCAGCTTTTTTATGATTGATAGCACTCTGTATGCTAAATTTGAATCATTGCCAAGCATAAAAACTGCGATCAGCTCCGGCAACAAAATCCATCTACAAGCAAGGAATTACTTTGTTAAGCCTTTTCTTCTTCTCTCTCGCACTGCATCTTTATTTAACCGCACGGAAGAGCTGCTATTTCCTGTGCAGACTGGCCAGCCTCCTTCTTTATCTACACTGAGATGGAACAGGAAGTAGTTATAGTCAAAATGTTCCAAGTCAGCAATCTCTTTGTGTACTATCATCACCAGATCACAGACATTATGTGTGCGTATGTTATGTTCATACAGATTATCAACACTTTTTATTGGTTCTAAATAGACTCTCTGACACACACACACACACACACACACACACACACACACACACACACACACACACACACACACACACACACACACACACACACACACACACACACACACACACACACACACACACACACACACCACACACACACACACACCACACACACACACACACACACACACACACACACACACACACCACACACACACACACACACACAACACACACCACACACCACACACACACACACACACACACACAGAGAGAGTTTTGTTCATGAATATGTGATTTAATTCCCAGTTTTTGTATTAAAAGATACTCTGTAGATCCGTAGTAAGAGGAATGACTGAAAGCTGTTAGAGAAGAAAGGAAATCATCGGTAGATTTGCCTACCTCATCGTAAGTATAGCGAGAGTCGGCCTTCTTTGATTTCAGATCCCACATGACCACGATCCCAGACTCAAATCCAATTATAAGCTGGAGAGGAAGAGCGACAGGCAGTCAGTGAGATAGGTAGGAGAGATGACAGAGAGGAGATAGAATAGACCCCATGATGGGCGGAAAGAGGAGTAATACATTTGACATTCTCCCGCAGCATGAAAGGAAGTCAGGTGTAAGCCGACTGTGGTGGCTCAGGAAGGAACCTGCCCACCCTGGTTCACATGAGATGAAGACATTTTTTTTTAGAGCATACAGTCTATGTTTTTAGGACTTGCTTAGAATTTCAAATGTGTGTCACTAAAGCAGATTAACAGAACACAAAAGGCTCTATTTTAAATGTGCCATGGGAATTATCCTACAAAGCTCTACTGTGTGTCTTTTTAAATGAGGCTGTATTCAAGCACACTTTTATTAAGTCCAAGGTGATGTCTTGTTTTTTGTTTGAATTTACCTTGATATAAAACATAAAAAAGCAGGAAAATCTCCATGTTTGAAAGGCAAAAAATAGCATTTTTTACAGTCATTATTTAAAAACAATGTAATTTACACTTTTGCACGTGTGTTGACAAAAAGGGATGTCCTTTACCTTTCCCTCATCCATGGGGTTGTCGCTTATATGCACCACTGGTCCAGGGTGAGCCTTGGTTGACCTTATGAGAGACAAAAAAGAGACACATTTGTTTATGCATAAACATATAGTTCACATGAATAGAGTAGAATTTGGTGGATATGGTACATTGGTAGGGACAAGTCCAGCACCAACTGAATCCTCCATAACAACATTTTGATCTAAAAATGTTATTGTAACAACTATTGTCTGTACATTTCTAATCAATGTTGGAACACAAACTGTTAACCGATCCGCACCAGTCTGGTTTCAAGGCAGGTCACTCCACAGAAACTGCTCTCATTGCTGTCACGGAGGAACTGCACACTGCCAAAACTGCATCCCTCTCCTCTGTCATCATCCTGTTGGACCTGTCTGCTGCATTCGACACGGTGAATCATCAGATCCTCCTTCGCACTCTCCAAAAACTTGGAGTTTCAGGCTCTGCACTTTCCCTCCTCACCTCATACCTGAAAGACCGTACCTACAGGGTGACTTGGAGAGGGTCTGAGTCCGACCCTTGTCAATTAACTACAGGGGTCCCTCAGGGCTCTGTTCTTGGTCCCCTCCTCTTCTCCCTGTACACAAACTCGCTCGGATCAGTCATTAGCCCGCATGGTTTTTCTTACCACTGCTACGCTGATGACACCCAATTAATTCTGTCCTTTCCCCGCTCAGAGACCCAGGTCGTCGCACGCATCTCTGCTTGTCTAGCTGACATCTCTCAGTGGATGTCTGCTCATCACCTCAAACTCAACCTTGACAAGACTGAGCTGCTCTTCCTTCCGGGAAAAGATTGTCCCACTCTTGACCTAACAATCAACATCGGCACCTCAGTTGTTTCCCCGACTCAGACTGCAAGGAATCTGGGTGTGACCCTAGATAACAACCTGTCCTTCACTGCAAACATCGCTGCTACAACCCGTTGCTGCAGATACACGCTTTACAACATCAGGAAGATACGTCCCCAGCTGACACAGAAAGCGACTCAGGTTCTGGTCCAGGCTCTCGTCATCTCACGCCTAGACTACTGCAATTCCCTCCTGGCTGGTCTACCTGCATGTGCCATCCGACCTCTGCAGCTCATCCAGAATGCAGCGGCTCGTCTGGTCTTCAACCTTCCTAAATTTTCCCACACTACTCCGCTCCTACGCTCGCTTCACTGGCTTCTGGTAACTGCTAGAATCCACTTCAAGACACTGGTACTTGCGTACCATGCTGCGAATGGATCTGGCCCTTCCTACATCCAGGACATGGTTAAACCGTACACCCCAGCGCGTGCACTACGCTCTTCATCAGCCAAACGACTCGCTGCGCCCTCGCTGCGAGGGGGACCCAAGTTCCCAACGGCGAAAACACGTGGGTTTGCTATCCTGGCTCCAGGATGGTGGAATGAGCTCCCCATTGACACCAGGACGGCAGATAGCTTGCACATCTTCCGGCGCAAACTGAAAACTCATCTCTTTCGACTCCACTTCGAGCGATAGAACTATTAACAAAGCACTTTTATACTAATAAAGGACTGGCTTACCTAAAGCCAGTTGAGTAGCACTTGAAATGTTTTTGCTCTATGAAACCTGATGTACTTATATGATTCTGTTTTCTTCAAGTTGTATTTTGTTGGACGAACGTACTTATTGTAAGTCGCTTTGGATAAAAGCGTCAGCTAAATGCAATGTAATGTAATGTAATTAACCGCTCCTTGAAATTTGAATTTATACTCATTACAAAAACTTTTTTCGTGCAATATCACTTTTTTCTCACATAATTCTAGCTTCTCACAGAACATTGATACAATACTGTACTGTATGTGGAAGTCATGTCCATATCCGTATTAACTCAGCTGAGAACAGAGTATCTACAGAAGAATAAATATTTGAGAGCCTTACTGCATTGCATTCCAATATATATTTTGAATAACCTCAGGCCACTACAGCTTGTCTTTTCCTTAACATAAATTAGGACATTTCCACCACAAATTAATGTATAAAAACGACCAGAATGCAGCTAATGAAGGGTTTGATGGCCAACACATCCTGAGGGAGGACTTCAAGGACCCCCATACTTAATATGTGTCCCCATCATCACTGGAATAAAACATACGACCTTAGTGCACCTACATCACATAGTAAAGTATTGAGAGGGTTAAGGTTGGAAGAGTCAAAAGTGTCTTTGAACCTTGGAGGAAGTCCGCCGGGGAGGAGAGAGCTGCCAATCACTCCGAGGCTCTAAAAGGCTGTTCAAAGACATAAGCTCACTTAAGGTTGTGATGGATGTCTCTGTCAGGCCAGACCGTCCCCAATGGCTGTGTATGTGTGTGTGGGTGCATCGCTGTGTGTGTGACCATTTGCATGTCAACAGAGGCAGCACAAAATGCTCGGCGGCCCCCTCCTCTCCTCCTCCTGTCTGTGCTTTACCCTCCAGACAGCCTTATGTCAAAATCTCCTCTCTCTGTGCGCCACGTGGCTGCAGAATGTACCTAACCTTCCCTGCCTCAAAAAGATGATGTGGACTGCAGAGCGCCAGAGAAGGTCACAGCTGAAAAAGAGTGACTGTTAGCGCCTGAAACATGACTACAGTTACAGTTAGCAAAGGCAGGGATGCCTGAAAAGGAGAAGAAAAGGATGAGCTGCAACCAAATGTAAGTGATACACAAAGGGCCCAGAGTTTTTTATTCATCTCTAAGTCTGACAGTGAAGGGCAAGACATGCTGCTGATAAGATAAAGTATTAAAACTGTATATATTCCAATTGAAATACATACGCAGAAGATTAATGTCAACCCAGTCAGTCAAAAGGATTCCTCTTAAAAAACAATGTACAGACGCATACAAAAGAAAATCCCTTAGAAACATGACTTATGACCCGCTGGAAGTGTTTGCCGAAATGCCAAGCTGCAACGCTCACTCAAAAACAAGAGGGAATATGGGGATATCTTTCACCTCCTGGCAAGCACCCTTAACTGAAGTAATGGTGCATACACTTGCGGTGTTGTTGAGTGGGTAGGGAGGACCAATTTAAAATGTTGTGATTACAAAACTGAACTAACAAATCCTACTCATTCTGCCTCAGGTTTATCCCTGCATCTCAGCATGACGATACGAGTGCAAGCACAGGGTGAAAGAAGGGAAGCATCTACAGCGGTGTGCGCGTGTGTGTGCGTGTGCGTGCGTGTGTGTGTGTGTGTGTAATAGAAGGTAGCAGTTAGTGGGCAGGCAGGCAGTCAGTCAATTGTATCTATATTTAGCCTGTTTGTGCCGGAGCCTTATTACCTAAGCTCTGCTGCAGCTGGAGCTGTTGATTTATCTAATCCCCCTTCACTGCCTGTCTCTCAGCTAACAGCCGTCGTCCACAGCAGCTCGCACAAGTACTCTCACTCACACACACACACACACACACACACACACACACACATTTTCAGGTTTCATGTCGACACAATTAAGACACATCTTAACATCCACCCCATTAGCAAAACCTACATCCATAACAAACAATTACCCTCTCGCTGAATTACAAAATGCAACTTGTATAAAAGCTTCGCCCGCCTGTCCCACGCGGTTTATCTCCTCTCGTTTCAGGTTTTTATGCGCCTCGTTCTCCATCTTCCCCTGTGAGACTCCGCCGTAACAAATCTGTTTTGTTAAAACCTGTTGTCATACAGTAAACAAATGTGACACCGACACATTCACAAAGTCCACAAATACATGTTCAGGTTTGGAGATGAAGGAATCACCATGGCAACAGAGGCAGGATGGGCAGAGCGCAGACATGCTCCTAAAATCATCCATACCCTGCCACAAACCCGCCCACACAAACACAGACAGACACAGACACACACACACACACACACACACACAGCCTGGCGACTACTTCAACACACTCCTGTAAGCACACATCTCTGCCTGCATACTGCTAATGACTCTGCATTTTGCATACAGAGATAAAAAAGGGAACATTTGAGAATGTGTGTATGTGGGTCTCTGATAGTTAGTGCACTTTCATACAGATAGATTCTTTAGTGTGCCTGCATACCACAATATGTGTTTCTATGCGTTATTGTTAGACTGTGAGCATCCATAAAGCATCATTCACATCATAGTCTCTTTCAGCTACAGACTTTCATGTCTCCCACGCCACACACACACCTTTAAATGCCTCATGGCAAATATGACGCTTGTTCGGTACGTCAGGAAATCTTGAAAATGTTTGCCCCCTTGGCACCTTCCCTTCTAAAAAGTCATCTGTTATAAACCTTTATTGCACCGAATCCTTCTTTGAATATCAAATATTCATCCCACCCAGTGATGCCTTCAGTAGTACATTAAAGAAAATGGTCCATTACGTTGCAAGCACACACACAAAACTGAATGTCCACACACGCACAGTAAAGCAAATATCTGTGGGTGTGTGAATGACGCAGGGGGGAATTGTTAGCAATAGGAAGGTTAACTCCTGAATTCGACAACATCTCTTCAGTGCAGGCAGACTAAAAACACACTCACACAATAAAAAAACTACATTTCAAAAACGATTTCTAAATGCATGTATGATTAAAAACACCAATATTTCTTCAGCATACCTTTTCAAAGGCTTAACTACATAAACAAACACACGCTGAGTGAAATCCTGAACATCTGGTGTCACTGCGGGCGACACTGTGAGGCAGCAGAGCGCAGTCACCATGACGTGTCTCCGCCGCGACATGACTTGAACAGCCAGTGTGCAGCACGCCCCTACCGTATGTGGCCTCAAGTCACCTTGGAACTGTGGACTGTGAACCTGTGCGTGTCTGTGTGCGTTTTAATGCATGCAGTTCATTTTTGGGGTATTTGGTGGTTCCTTTGTCTGTTTGAAGCTCAGTGGAAGGCTACAGTAGACCAAGGAAGAACCCATTACATTTTGGAATGGATTCAAATCAGGGGTGGGATACACACATTATTTGTTTTTAATATGGAAACGGCCTTGGTGAAGTGCCGCCTTCATTTAGATTCCTGGTAGTCATAAATAGGTTCTATGTATGGCCCTTCTGGAATAAAAAAACATGTTCAAGATAAAAGTGCTGCCCCAGCTCGACTGATCCTCCCAGCCTCAGTGAGAAGAACATGCACAGCTTTTCCGTACATACATTAAAAATACTAAATCTGAAACTGACAAAGACAAGCATCCATTGTCAGCTCACGCGTGACACAAACATGTTAGGTCCTGGTTAAAAGCTTACCAACAGACAGCGAGAGCAACAGAAACTACCCTTAAGTCCGGTGTTGCTGTATAAATATAATGTTATATCATTTATGAAGTAGGCTTATTCACTTATCTGTCAGTTGAATATGAAACTACAGCTACAGTAGCAGCTGATGAATTTAGCATTAAGGGGGGGGACACCTAGCCTTCCCCTATCATACAGTATCTCACCCAAAATCCCAAAGTTTAATGCATAACCCTCTTTAAATACGCAAAATGTTGTTTCTTGATTAAAACGAAAAAGTAATAACATACTAAATAATGGGATTCAAAAGGTGCTGGTAGGCAGATTGTTTCACTATTGAACAGAGACAGGCTGGCTGTTTTCTGCTGCTTCCTCACTATATGCTAATCCGCAATAAGCTTAATGTATCCTGGCTGTACCTATCTTCATATGTAGGGGAAATATAGAAGATTGGTATTGATCCTAAAACCTATCTCTGAGCAAGAAAAGAAAAATAATACTTATGTCCTAAAATGTAGAAATGTTTGATTTATTTACCTAAAAAAACACCCATGAACTTGATATATAAAGCAAGCTTATATAGGCTTAGTTTTGTATTAAACTATATTAAAAATAAAAGACATTTCAAAAGACACCTTCCAAATGAAGATTGCTTAGTTGTAACCCCTTAGTGCATGGGAGTTGGAAGGGTGTCCCCCCCAGAAAAGGTACACCAGGACGACACCGGCAGCCGGGGGTCCTGGAGACCCTGTAGCTTTGGGGATAGAAGGGGCTGTTGTGCTTCCTCATAGTGCAGTGCTGTAACAGCTGAGGACTTCACATATGCATGAAAACGCAGAACGCAGGAACATACGTAGAAGAAGCATGAACAATTCAAACAAGTAATTACTGTAGCTCGGGGGTCGAGAGTGGGAAGAAATAAAAGAGGACAGAAGAGGCCTGAGGCCAACACATTCACGTGAACTATGTGTCATATAATCTGTTAACATTTTACCCCTCCTGTCCTGCTTCTCCCCGGCTCTCTGTACCCAGCAAACATCTAGTTGAATCAAATCAAACACACACAGACAGACGCTGCCAGGTGCAAATATACAAATATAACATTCTTGCGTACACAGAACATACATTAAATTATGCAGCATTTGAAAAAAACACATGCACACGTGGCCTTTTGGCAATGTCGTGAATGCCTGTGGCTCTGAATGAACTGCAGTGCCATGCAGTTGGTTTTGCACTTTAAGAAATGTGTGTTTTATAATCTGTACAGTAGCTTGGGCACAGAGGTGTGAGTCATACAAACACACAGAGCACTGGGCCAGGCCTGGGGCCACTGGCACAACTACTGCTGCTCGTCTCCAAATGGCAAGGCCCAAGGGAGGATGACCCTGGTACACACTTATGTATTTATGTATTTAACGGGAACAGTGTTCATTAATCATAATTTCAGTTGCAGCTCAATGTAAGTGTGCCAGAGGTAAAACATTAATAACTATGACAGCAATCGTAGTTGAACAGAGATGTACAGTAGCATCAGGGCTTAACATTAGGTATTTAATAAATGCTTCAATAGTTCTATATGTGATACTTAAAAGTATTACTGATGAACACAGTAGTGCTCAGCTAACGAGACTAAATGATGATCTAATTTCAATATCAAGTCTGCAATTTTGTTATTCATTTTATATCTTCCAATTTAACGTAAAAGCACCAACTACAGTTCATTTAGATTAGGTGCTTCCTTCTTCGGATGGCAACGTCAGAAGAAAATTATAGGAGAGCACAATAGCTTTTGTATCTGGACTACAACCCTACCAACCCCACAGCTGGCAGAGAGACCCAACGCAAGAGAACAAGAGAATCCCCTCACATCTCTCTGATCTGTATCAAAGCAAACCACAGACACACACTTGTGCGCTCAAACAGATATGCAAACCGAGAGCGCCGGTAACAAATCCCAGAATCGATTCCTGGCACTGCCGCCATCTTCAAGACATGGAACCCAACAGAATGGCTGTGAGAGAGATTGAGATGTGAACCAAAAGATGTGGAAAGAGCTATCGTTTGGATGGAAACAACTCAACTTTGATTGTTGTGGTTTATCAAAGCTGTTGCACGGCAGAAATGTAAGTGGCATGATTTGATGTGTCACAGGCACAGCTACATATTTTTTTATCTATCAAGGATTTATTTCACAAAGGAATGCACAAAAATGGGCTTTCCCTTGTTGTCATTTACTTTTTATTTAGCGGTCAATAAACCTGTTAGAATCAGAATCAGAATACCTTTATTCTCGCAGCTTGAATGTATAAGGATATTTCAATAAACTATTATATTGTTATTATGGACTACCAAAATATAGGCATTAAAGAAGTGACTGTCATATACATTGCTTGTGCAGTATGTGATGTGGAGGAAGGAGCATTGAGAACATTTAAAGTTCTACACACAAGCTGTGTGACCTTTTGTTTTATGTAAGAGTGGCATAAGGTTATAATAATTCTAATACAAGCTCAAGCCATTTGGAAAGGACTAATATCAACCTCCTGCCAGAGGCTATGTTTGATGTGGTCAGAAAGGATTTGTTATTAAAATTGCAACGTCATTTTTAAATAATAACTGAAGGTCACTTGATTAACTCTAAATGTAAGTAACATGATGTCTTTATTTGTCCATTTTTGATTTGATTTTGAATAATGTGCTGTACATGGCAGCACATACACATATCCACGTATTTACTATTTCATTCCAGAGATACATTAACTTTCTGATAGAAAAAATGACTTTTTCATGACCAACAAGGCAACAGAAGTCACATGTTGAGGATGTATGTGTTAATAGCCAAGGGAATATCTGACGTCCAGGTGAAGCAAGATGAACAGCAGTAAAGGGTATAAAAGTGAAGCAAAGAAAAGTTAGTTTAGGAAGAACTCCTTTATCTACCTCTTTATCTTATCATCCACATCTAACCTCTATCTTATCACTATCTCTCCCATACCTTCCTCTTCCGCCCTTTTTTCTGTAATTGGAAACCTTTTTCCTTCTGCCTCTCCATCCTCACTTATCTGCATGACTCCTGATCTGCCCTCTGTTACCTGCATTTATCCCTCTGTCTCCACTCCATTCCTGTTCTCCATCACTCTTCCCCTTCTGCATGTCCTTCCCCTCAGGCGAAAGCCCTGTCTCATGCATTCGGCTCCAGCCTCCTCTCTGTCATACTTCCCCCCCCCCCCCCCCCCTCCCCCTCCCGCCCCCGCTCCTCTCTCCCACCACTCACTCTCGCATTTTCTTCCCTGCAGCCCTGTCGACGAGACGAGACGTCTGTGTGTACCATACACTGATCTCGGCAGACACCTGTTCCACCCCCTCCCTCCTTCCTTCCTCTTTTCCCCTCTGTCCTCTCACACGCGCACAGAAGGGGGTGAGGGGGAAAAGCGTGAAGCAAAACGCTCCAGTGAATAATTTAAGTCTCTACAGCAGGGAAGCAAAATGGAGCCTGTCAAACTGACATATCCATTGAAACAGTAAAGAGACAGGTCGCTCACTACCTGGAGTCTGATACTGTGCCTCAGTAGATTACTAGTGATTGTTTCTCATCTCATTACATTTAAGAACAATAACCTTTTGAAGGGTAAAATGCTCTTAAGACAGCATTACTTGAGTGCTGCAAGGTGAGTCAATAAACCCTGGAATCAATGTTGCAGTGCTTGCAATATCAGTTTGATTCCCACAGAGATCAAACATTGATCTGCAGATCAGCCATTCACCCTGGATGGAAACCCCATCCATACGGCCAAAAAACCTGGAGCTTGTTAAATTGTGCAGTGTTTGAAGAGGAGGAGGAAGAAGAAGAAGAAGAAGAAGAGAGTAAAGGCAAGGAAGTTTGAGTGCATGACGCAGCGTCCACACGGCGGCGTGCATTGAAGCTTGCCGGTGAGCTTGTCTGAAACTCGACCAACAACCAATCACATGAATCTCCCGTCCCGGACACACAAGCACGCCGTTTGATTGGCTAGAGCTTGTACTGGCATATGATTTGATTGGCTGGCGCTTCCGCCGAAGCTTCAAAAGTTGAACATTGCTCAACTTTTGAAGCGAGCAACGCGAAGCAAGGCGAAGCAAGGCGAAGCAAGGCGAAGCAACGCGAAGCAACGCGAAGCAACGCGAAGCAACGCGAAGCAACGCGAAGCAACGCTCCCACAATGCAGTTCGGCAAAGCGTGACGTCACCCCATTCAAAGTGAATGGGCAGAAGCGTTGAAGCTTCATCGCACGCCGCCGTGTGGATGGGCCGTGAGGAGTGGGAGGCAGCATTAGAGGGTGACTCGTGGGCAGTAACACTCACAGTTCAATGGCTTTGTTCCACATGATGACGTAGCCTGAGAGCATAAAGGACTCCACGTTGACGAGGTGGATGTTCCCCCGTTCTGTGCCGATATACAACCATTTACTCTGGAAGGGCAGGTGGCAGAAAGTTATTCTGAAAAAAGAAGAAGAATAAGAAGACGTGAGTAAACAGGAAAGAAAAACAGTAACAGGCACAAAGCAGAAACTTCACCGAAACACTGGACGTCCTATTATACCTGGAGACAAATTATGCAAAACTTTGGGAGGATTATTTACCAGTCTTTCAGGACAAAGCAGTTGAGATGAGAGTGACTAATCAAAGGGATTTTTGAGACATTCAATCAGCCACCCTCTGCAGACGTACAGGAAACATGAGACAGACACCCATAGTTCTCCATTGTTCATCATCGCTCCCACATTCTTTTCTTTTCATCATCCATCAGAGTTAAGTTTAATGAAAGGTTAGAAAACCCTTTCCTTCTCATCCCTTTCATCCATCCCTAAATTCAACCTCCAATCCGTCTGAGGAATAATAACGTAACACCTCGGAAATCTGGCTTGCTAATATTTCAAGGTCATCCCGCTCCTCCAGTGATCCTTTTTATTCTTCACGGTGGTTTGAGCAACACCTGTGGACTTCAGCGGCCGGGATATAAAAGACAACGCCTTCGGCTCATCAGCTGGGACACACCACCCAAGTTGTATCCATCTCTTTTGACAGCATTTTCTTTTTTATCGCTATTTCTAGCAGGAAGGACACACTGGTTTATTTCCACTGTGTTTGTGAAAGATAAGCTCATATTTAGTTATATCACACAACAAGTTTCATATCTGATATTATATATGATGTCAGAGACACTTTGGTAAGATACACCTGTCATTTTAAAATAGTAAATATTTTCTGGCATTACATGCAGTATTCCTGGAACGGTGAAAATAACCCCCCTTCTCCATGGTTCTTTAACTCATTCCAAACTACAAAAGAACCACCCAAAAAAGTGTTTTCCAATCCAAACAATATGAGATCATAGCAATTGGAGCATGATTAACATTGTTATAGTTACATTTTAATGGCAAGACAAAGCTCCTCGTTTGGGTAAGGGAAAAACTATTCTTCCCATGAGCATTATCATCTGTTTTAGTAACATAAAACAAAAAAAATGTGGGTTGCAGGACTCAAACTCTGGTCTCTTGTAAATACATGAGGAAAATACAAGTGATTTGTATGTGTAAAGTGTTAGAATGTGAGTCTTCCTGCAAAGAATTAAAAAATGATGCAATTGAACAAGGCAGCGATTACTATTCCCCCTCAAAGGATGTGAGCTGGTTAAAAGGAAACATAGTCCAGATAGATTATAGATATAATGACACTTAAAAACACAAGGATATGTGTAAGCATGTCCTTGCAGTGACTTTGAGTGTTTTTCCTTTGTGTTATAATGCTCAGAAAAGCCTCTGTCTCCCCCACCTCCCTCTCTGGGAGTCTCACACTGTTGCAACAGGGCTGTAGCGCCACACACACACACACACACACACACACACACACACACACACACACACACACACACACACACACACACACACACACACACACACACACACACACACACACACACACACACACACAACACACACACACACACCACACACACACACACACACACACACACACCACACACACACACACACACACACACACACCCACACACACACACACACACACCACACACACACACACACACACACACACACACACACACACACACACACACACACACACACACCACACACACACACACACACACACACACACACACACACACACACACACACACACACACACACACACACACACACCACACACACACACACACACACACACACACACACACACACACACACACACACACACACACACACACACACACACACACACACACACCACACACACACACACACACACACACACACACACACACACACACACACACACACACACACACACTCCTCCCCCAAGATCTGCATTAAAACATGAATATATTCATGTTTGGGGGGGAAAGAGGCATTGAGCTACTTGACATACATCTCATTCACAGTCCAAAATGTGCACAGGGATTCAGAAAACAACCCTTAAACACAGTGACATCATTTAAATAAATACAGCAATATTGTCTGGGTAAATCAAACATGAGTGATAACAGCTGCGCATGCTTATTTAAGTCTCATCTGACTAACATCACTTTCTCCTAAAAATATTTGTATTAATACTCACAATTCTTTTAATATATTTTGACGGAAATATAATTGCTGTATGCATTGCACTCACTAAGATTTTGGAAAACCAGGATGCTAGATTTAAAAAGCACTGAGATATTGAAAAAAGTCAATGCATTCTGTATTATGCGTTAAGGCAGTGAATGTTGGTCTAAAGACAAATAAGATATGTTGACAGATATGTTTAATAAAAATGTTTGTTGATAAAAAACCTAATCCAGGCGACATTGTGATTCAAACATGTAGTTGCCATTGCAGACGATATGGTTAAGAAAGAGCTCGAGCATAATAATGTTGACAGTTGATCTTTGGGATGCGCACACTCGTACAGACGCATTACCAATGAATAAGATTGACATGACAACTTGTGGCATCTTCCTATCCAGTAAGCAGACTATCAGCTGGATTAAATCTCCTTTTCCATCTGCACTAACAGATGTGCCTCATCTATGAATATGAGGGCTGGAGTGTGTGCATGTGTCACGGTTATGATTTTGTAAACAACAAATTCTGCATAAATGTCTAGTTGTCACTGTACTGTATGAATGTGCCTGTACAAGTTAGGTTTTTGTGTACATCTGCACAGGAACATGCTTCAGCCACTGACATGAATTAATGTCATTAAATATGCACTGTATGTAAATGTATGTGGTGTATACATGTTTAATCTGTGTCTGTGCGCACATAGGAGCCGATTGATTAAGTGTTCTGAGAGCCAGAATGAGAGGAGCCAACCGAGAGGCAGTGTCAGGAAGCATAATTACTGTATACAAATTTGCTCGCACTTAGAAGTGTGTGTGTGCATTTTTGGTGTGTGTTTGCCCATGTGGGTGTCATTGTGTTCACGTGTCTCCTGGTGAAATCTCAAGCTTCAAGTGGTCACGACACACGAAGGCAGCTGCCAGCTTCAGGCTCAGGGCCAGATATATCGCATCATAGACATGACAGACGCCTGCCACACACAGCTCTGAGGCTGCACTGTGGGCTAGACGTATAACGGCAGGGTTCACTGCAGATCAATTGAAAAGGGGGGGAAACTTTAGGAAATCATCATTTGTATTGCATGGGTTTATGTGATGTCCCTTTCACAGGAGATGATCGCTACAAATGGGCTGATATGTGCCGGCCTGTCATTAGGAAGTCACCGGCTGCAACACTTTAATCTAAACTGCCTTGATTTAGTGATCCTTTCCCTTCCTTTTTATTAACTGCCCTTGAGCAAAGCACTGACCACTAGCTGCTAAAGGGCTGACTAGACAATAATATGTCAAGAAAATGATATTATTAGGTTGCAGTAATGAGTATGTCATTGCTGCAGCAGAGCAGTAATAGGATTGACGATAGAACACTGAGTTTTAATATCAGACTTGTAATGTCTCCAAACATATGTATTAAAGAGTTACGCTGTTATGCGCAACAAGGGCAGAAGAAAGAAGCTGACATGAGAAGAATGGGGGCTGGTTATGTTTAAAAAAGTGATACCTTTACTTTTTTAATGCAGCATAGTAAACAATTATATATCTGTCTTTCGTGTTATCTTATATTTTCAGAAAACAAAGGTATTAAAATAATTGGGAATACAGATAACAATTTAGACATTGTTTGGAATTGTTGATTAGGTGAATGACAAATCAAATCAAGTTTTATTTATATATCACATTTATAAACGATTTTTGGTCGAGCCAAAGTGCTGATAGCAGATAAAGCAGATAACAAAAAAAAAAGGTGATCAAGTGTTGAACAGCCTTAAGATGTTGGAGAGACTTCCAATTAGCTTAAATAAATAAAAAATGGAAACAAGATAATGCACTTATATAATATCCATTTGGCAGAGCTACAGGCCGGATGGCTGTTCTAATCTGAGAGGGCAGAGACCCCAATCTACCCCACAGGGTTTCAATTACAAAGACTATGATCTGATAATAGACTGTTCACATGCGCATCATCTCGAAAACACATTCACACACTAAAACACACACACACACACACACAAAGCACCTGTGAAAATCAATCCAAGCCAGTGCCGCATAATTAAAACAATGCTGAATTAATTCCCCTTCACAGCTTCTTAATATACCTTTGCACAGTGAGAAGATAGTGTTGGCAACAAAAGGAGAGGAACTTTTGTTGCCCGGCAGCAACATAGATCAGCTCTAATTGGCTCTATTAATTACATTATTTAAAGGTTCCCTATTATACTCTTTTTCATTATTATAGGTCTCAGATATATAAAAAACATGTCTCGGAAGTGTTTGGCTCGAAATACCAAACAGATCACCCAATGCAGCATCCCATAAATCCCTCTGTTTCAGCCCTGTTTCAAAAGTGCTGATTCTGTGTCTGTTACTTTAGATGAAAATAAGGAGCAACTCCCCACGCCCCTCTGCAAGATATTTGGTTAAGGCGGTGTTTACACGAGAACGAAACGGGTTGTATCTGCTACTTTTCTCTCGCGTATAGCCCGTTCGTTCACACGAGGCCGTAACGGAACCGTGGAAACGGACCCCGCAAACGATAACGGGTCCCAAGGTGGATAGATCTGCAAACGGAATGCTCTCGGGGGCCAAACGGCTCAGTGTGTACGCCCTAAGGGGTACTCGAACTTTTTTGTTAAAGGTCCACTTGTGAATTTTATACAAGGTCAATGGTCCGGATCACTGCCAGTAAAGCCCCCCCCCCGGAGCAGAGCAACGAAACTGAAATTAATTTGAGAAGCAGTTATGGCGCGCTATGCATGGGGCCCCCTTAAGGGGGTTTCCCGACATGTCGTTGCAGTAAATTAAAGGGTTTTTCATGTTGTCGTTGCTGTGGACCTTGTTAATATTTTTAACTTAAATGCGTGTCACGCTCGCGCACGCA